GCTGTTCAGCCCCCGCTTCCGAAAGTCAGCCTGATCTGTTCTCAGTGCTCGTTGAGCAAATGTTCCCTTTCTCAGGTGAAGGAAAAACCCATGCCGTTGCAAATAGCCAGAATACAGCCGTAGTAAAGGTGGCATTTGTCTTCTCATCTCCCCGCCTGCTGCTGCCCGACGTGAACTCTCAGCCAGGCGCTGGCGCTGCCAGCTTTGCAGTTTGAGCGCGGGGAGCTCCTGGCAAGCAGATTGCGGTATCGTGGGCTGGAGCCGTGTGTGAACACTGCGGGCTGGGGCTGCTGTGGGTCAGGCCAGAGCTCCATCCAGCCCGGGGTCCTCTTGCTGACAGCCGAGACCTTCCCGGAGCAAAGACATTGCGCTTCGTAGTTGCCGATACGGCTGCCGAATAACCCCTTCGTGAAACCACTCACCCTCCTGGCCTCCCCCACGGCCTCTGGAGCAGGGCGAGGAGCTGAGTTAGGCAGGGGCTGGATGAGAACTTCGTGCCCAGCTGCCGGAGCGGATGGAGGCGAGGGCTGAGCGGCCTCTGCGGGATGCTGACTCAGCGTGGACTTGTCCTGCCAGCCACGCTGCCGCTCACCCACGTGGGATTGCCCACAGCGCTGCGGCTGAACTGCCGCTAGTAATTTCAAAGGCAGAAAATAGACACTTGCCTTGTGCCCCGCTGGGATGGGAAGATGGAACCTGTGGAAACGAGGCAATGGAGTCTGTGTTCTTATTGAAGGGCTTTTCTTGGCCAGGGAGTGAAATTTGATGGTTTAACCAAGCTGAAGGGAGCCGGTTCTGCCTCGGTGTAACAGCACATATGGCCTAGGAGACCGTGGGCTGGCCTGGGCTGTGTTGGGTGACAACTGCAGGTTTTTTTCTTTGTTAATGTCTTCATTAGCAAGTCTGGCACTAAATGTAGCGATATTCTCCGAGGTGAATTCGGGTACTTAAATATCTTGGCCTGAATAGAGGTCTAAAAATAGAAACCTCCAGCAGTTTGATGCTTCTGCTGATCTTCCCTCTGAAGGACGAGAGACTGAATCACTTGCACCTTGCCGTGAAAGCAGGTTGTGTTGCACCCTCGCTTCCCTGCAGCCTCCCTCCCGGGGTCTCAGGTCTGGTTTTGGTGGCCAGAGGATGGTTTCTAACAGGATTTGTGCCCTGAAGATGGCCAGGCCCTGGAAATTTGTTGCCCTTGTAACCCTTGTGCTCCACAGCCTGTTAACGCTGCGGCTTGGTGCTCTTTGCAGGCTGGGGGGAGCTCCCATTTTGTGTTTGGTTGGGTTTTTTTTTTGTTTTGTTTTTTTTTTTTTTCTTTTTGTGTTTTTTTTTTTTGTGTGTTTTTTTTTGTTGTTTGTTTGTTGTGTGTTTTTTTTTTTTTGTTTTGTTTTGTTTTTTTTTGGTTTTTTTTTTTCCTTTCCTGTGCTCCAAAGGTGTAGGTTGTTTCTGGGTTTCCAAACACCCCGTGAGTGCTTCAGCTCTCGGGGTGTGAGCTCACTCACGTTTTCCCCCCAGAGGCCCCCCAGCTGATGGAGGAAACCTCAGGGATCCCCTCCGCGGCGCGCACCCCATGGATGAAGGGCAAGAGGAGGGAAGGGGCTGAACATCCCTTGCGGGGGTGTGGGCTGGGCAGCCTTTGCTCAGCTCTTCTCAGTGGTTCTGTTCGGGGGTTTGCGTCTGGAAGACGGTCGGAATTTCAGGAGGGGGGGATTCATCATGCTCTCACGGGGGGCTCGCTTCCTTGAGCGTGTTAGAGGGGTACCCTGGAGATGTCCTGCGTGGGTTCTGCCACAACCACCCCCTCGTCCGGCAGCTGCCCGCTGCCATCCACTGGCACCGCCAGACTAAAGGCCCAGAGGAAGGTGGTTCTTGCTGGTGCTGGTGGGGCCTCACGTCCCCCAGATGTTGGGGAGCTGGGGGTGCCTGGTCACCCGCTGACACCGGCTCCAGCTGGGGGTGCAAGCCTGGCCCTGTCACCGCTGACACCGTTCACTCTGTGTAACCCCCATCTCCCACCCCCCTGTCCCGTTCTGTCACCCCACAGACCATCTCCAGGACTGTGGATCCAAAGTGTTTGGTCCCCCCGGCTCCGCAGGCAGCGGGTCCTGGCATGATGCTCCCACGACCTTGGCACAAACGAGTCGTCTTGGGGCTGGTTTGCGATGGGCTGAAACGCTGTTGGTGACGAGCCTGGGTAGAGTTGGAGCTGAAGCTTCAATTTTCTTCAAATCTGGCTCTTTTGTGGTTTGGTGTTTTCTTTTTTTTTTTTTTTTTTTTTCCCCAGCTGGAGTATTTCACAGAAGGCTCCTGCTCCTAAACCGACACTGCTGCTGGGGAGCAGTTGCTGTTGGCTTTAATCCATCTGCGAGACTCTCGTTTTCACATGGAGATAACTTTGAGCTGCTGCAGTACTGCTGTTGTCAAACACCCTCGCTAGCCTCAGGACAAAGGCAGTTTCTCGACGCACAGATTTCTGGCTCAGTCCCACTCTCTGCGAGGCAGCTCGTGGCCCTGGGAGGTGTTTGCCCCGTGCTCTCAGGACAAGGGGCAGTGGCAGGGCAGCTGGCACCATTTCATTAAGCAATTTCCATGTAGAAATGGGCTAAAACTTCAGTGTCCTTCATGCAACCTTGTTAGCTAATTGTTATTAGGAACCTCCAACATCTTCCTACAGGTTGAAAACTGCCACGAGAGGGCAGGAGCTGGTGCTGCTGTTTTCTAGTTTTGGTAGAAAGGGCTGCAAATAAAGCCTGTCCAAACGATTTTCTTTTTTTCTGGAGGGTTTGATTCCCAAGTCTGTGGCCTTGGCTGTCTCCTTTCTGGTGACGGCAGGAAAACTCTCCCGTGAAGCGCGCAGGGTCGTGCTGTGCAGCTCTTCCCAAAGCTCAGGAGAGCAGAGGAGGGCTTCTGCAAAGTCCCCAACGATCTCACAGGCTTCATTCCCCTCTAGCTAGTCTCTCTCTTTTTTCCTGTCCTCGGAGCCTCATCCTGTGTCAGGACACATGTTCTGAATAAGGATTTTTAAATTTTTTTTTTTCCCCTGCCCATCTTGAATTAGGAGGTTAATGGCCAATTTCACTGTCTGGGAGAGACTTAAGCGTAACAAAACAGGAGGTACGGCGCCAGCTGACAACCTCACACTGCCATCTGTGCTACAAGGGGTTGGGAACTTCAGTCCAGTTTTGAATAAGAGGGAGAATGATTAACTAGTAAACGAGCAGGGTGGTTACAGCTGCCTGGAGAGTGGGCGAAAGGAAATTACTTTGAGCCTCCACTATAGCAAGGCTGGGTTTTTCTGGAATTTGGCTGTTCTTAAAGCATGGGTTCTTTTAACCTTTAACACTAACTGCAACGACTGCTTACGGGTCATAAATCCCTTCCTTATTAATGTCACCTTCTCTCGCAGCACAGCATCGCGTCTGTCTTTACTCCTCTGTCATGAGAGGAGAGATTCTCTCCAGGGTGAAACAGCTGCAAACGCTCTGCCATGCCTGAGTACCAAAGACAGTTTTCCAGAGAATTATAAAGGCAGCAGCAAGCCTGGCTCTGGGAGAAGAGCATGTTTATGCGAGATATCAACAGTTGCCTCTCGGAACAAAGGGACGGCATTGAAGTCGGGAAACGCTCACTGAAAACATCACCCCACACGTGCCCTTGTGTAAGGAGCAAACTGTGTCAGATCGAAAAGCTCCCGCAGTGAAGCGCTCGCAAGCTTCAACATATTTTTAAGGCCTTGAATAAGGTATGTGAGGCTCTTAATAAACATGCTCGAGACACCGAGGAGCCAAAAAACCACCAAACCCAAGAGCGGTAGCCAAAAAGCCTTAATAATGCAGGTAGCAGCGTGGGACCTGCTTATGGAGTCACGTATCTTAAATACTGTTTTGTGGAGTTGGGGGTTTTTGTGTTTTTTCAAACCCTTGCTTTTTCAGTGTTTTAACCTTTCTCCTGAGGGTCCCTGCAGCTTGGCTGTGAATACGAAGCTGTGCAAACGCACGAGTCGGTTTTGAGCGCTCTCGGTGGGGTAAGCATCCAAAATCCTCGTCTGAAACAGGAGCCGTTCAGGAGACCGGTCGTAGCACCACGCTGCAAAGCTGTGTGCGAGTAAATTCACTGCACCCCTGTGGGCACGAAGTTTGGGCTTTATCTGGGTTTAACAAGTTTCTGATGACTAGAAACTCTGTTGTGCAGTTTTGCTCTAATTGGAATGGGGGCAGGAAAGTGAGCTCAAGGGAAAAAAGATGTTTAAGCAGTAGTGGGTTTAATGTTTGCCTTTCAAGTGTTTCAAACACAGATATTTATCCTGCTACTGTAGCTAACTGCTTCCCAAATACTTTTGAAAAGGAAATAAAATTCCTTGCGTCTCCTCTGAGCCAACAGGAAATACTTATTAATTTGGATTCCAACATGACTCAGTCCAGAGATTACAGCAGTTGCCAAAACAACTGGTGGAAGAGCTTACTGGAAGTGTAAAATCAACAAAAACAAGATAGGGAAAAAGTAAGAGAAGAAAAATCATCTGTAACCATGTTTGGAAAAGTATTTATAAAGGGTATAAAAGCTGCTAATGCTCACAGTAAAATTACAGCGATCACGTTATCTTTTCAGAAATTGTATTTATTCAGTCACACTGCTCAGCATGAAATAATAGCCATCTCTAACTGGATGTTTTATTTGCTACATGGCCTGGAGGCTCTGCAGCTCAATGCTGTGTGTTAGTACTTGGGTTTCTACAGTTTCAAGGTCTTGGTAGTTCACTTATAGGGTGGTATCGTGTTAAGTCATTCTCACAGTCATCTCTTGGTATTTGCAGTCAGACACAAGAGATGACATGCCCAAATTTAAATATGAAAATGACTAAGAAATTAGTCATTTCACTGTAGCATACACTTGTTTCTCTTTTGTACCTGTAAGAAGAGCAGATCTTGGATGACTTAGGACTTAGAAAATCCATTCTGGGACAAACAAAAGCCCGAGCAGTAGAAAGACAAACAACTCTATTTAGACAATTGGGTTTATTCAGCCTAAAAGAGCCCTAACGTTCAATCAGAAGGGGATTCACAGAAAGGCCATGGGAGAAGCTCCTCGGGCCCAGGGCAGCACACGGGCTTTGACCCTAACCCCCGGTGTTTATGTCCTGCGAGGGGAAAGGAAACCTGAGTGTAGCAGGCTTGGACATCACCCTGCTGCTTTTTTTTACTGCCTTTCTTTTGATAAGCAAACCAGCTGAGGAAAGCCCTGGTACGTTATCCGTGTGACGTACTGGCTGGAGGGACAGTCCCCGCTCTGCCGCGCAGCACAGTGCCTCTGGCACCTCATCTGGCGCGAAACGCGGCTCACGACAGCACACACAGCCCCGATGTTCTTTGCAGAGCCTTCTTCAAAGTTTATTTTTCAGACAACATCTACACTTAAAATGCAATTTGTTCTACCTGAAGTTAAAACCATGCAGCAAGGATATGTTTAACACTATGGTCTCTCTTAACTCCTCTAAAATAAACGGCTCTTCTTTTTTTTCCCTTCCTGAAGTTTGATGCAGAAATAGAATCTGGAAAGGGAAGAGTCATTGTGTTGTTCTAAATGCAAAAGCCCAGGTTGCTTCACTGAAAAACGTGGAAAGGTTTGTTTCTGTGCTGCATGAGCTATTTTAACTAGCTGCACACTCTAAAAGACTATGTGGGATTAAACTGCTGTTGCTTTTGCAGAGGGAAGCACATGGCACAGAAAAGCGTGTGTGCATTTCACTGGAACGTTTCCATTTTCCCTCCTTTTTGGAACATACAGTAATTTCAATTTCCCATTTCTACCACAAAAAACATTAAGAATAAGAACTGGGTTTGCAATGATGTTTTAAACACAGGAAAACAGCGACAACTATAAACTTTCCTATTTTTTAAGTATATAAAGAGTGTACAAAAGATTGTTATAAAAAATATTTTGTTTCAGGCCTTATTTTGTGATAGTCTGATATTACTCATAGAAATGCTAAATGTTTATCTGATGGCATAAACTTACATAATACTTCAGCCTGTATGCTTACTGAAAGGATTATACTTAGGTAATTATTCCAAAGCCTCACAGGCTTGTGTTTCTTTTGGAATCAAGTGAAATCTTCTCAGTTTAGTCAGATACTCATTTCCCTTTGCCACAAAAAGCCCGAGTGCGTAACTTCTCAGTGAGCCTTTGAACATCTCGCGCCTGAGTTCAATATTTATGAATCCCTTCTGTAACAGGCACCAGAGAAGGGTTCTGCATGTCACTCGGGCTCACGTCATAGCCCAACTTCTTCATATCCTTGGTCACTACGTTGAAGGAAATGGTCACAAAGCCTTGAGATCGCACCCTCGTTACTAGAAGAAAGCAGACGTGAATAAAACTGGTTAAGAGAGGTTTTTGAATGATTGTACCCAGGCTAGATTGTTCTCAGCAGAACAATTATTCTTTTTTTATCAGCGGAAGGGGGACAGCCAGGCTGTGGCCTGCTGTCGTGCAAGGGTTGCAGGCAGGAGCTCCCAGGGACTTACCTTCTCTTCCTTCTCCCTGCGCTACCACTTTGGGGTCAGTGAATTCCGGACGTCTCCCTGTGAACCAGCTTGCAGAAGAAAGTAGAAAATAAGTAATTAATTGGATACGTTCACTAGTGTTTAGATTTGATACAGTTCATTATATGCACGTTAAAAAAACAAACGGGGGAGTTCAATGAGACTCCCAGCTGTTGATTGCAGTATAGTTCTGAAGACCGATTTACTTTATTGTTGATCTACTTTGATCAAAGTTTTGTCTCTCCAAGGAAAAAAAATGAAACCGATTTCATACACATTATGTTAAATCCAAGTTATTTCTGGGCTAGACAGAAGCCTTCTATGGCAAAGATGTTTTTGAAACTGATTCAACTCTCGATTACCCAGTGACAGAGGCTTGGATACTTTGAATACATCAGAGGTGCACATAATACAAAAGTATATAAAGTCTAGATTCTACAGAAAGGGTATCATAAAGAGAAGAAAAGTAAATCAGTTGAATCCTGACTGTCAGGCACAGAGATTCCCAAGCTCACTCTGACCTGAAGTGCTCAAGTACCAGGAGGCTGGCCCTGCACAAGGGGAGGGTCTCTTGGTACAGGCAAATGACAACTAACAATCATCTCACAGATCATTCAGACCATACTTAAGCAGTACAATAGAAGGAAAACACCTTAATAAATACCCTCAGTTGCTGTGTATAGACTGCTACTTGGGAAGGGATGTGTGTAAACAAGACAAAGTTTACAGCAAATGCATTCCAGATGGAAGAAAAAGTAGAACTGGGAATTGTTTTTCCATGTTTTGCCTTTGCTTTGTTTTCCAGGTTGCTCTTAATGTGGCTATCCTTCAAGAAAAGCCCTGAGCTACACTAAGATTTAGGGCTGGACTGCAGCACACCTTCTTGTGTCCAGTGACAACTAAAACACTCAGGAAAATTAGTCTAAGTAGTGCCTCTGCAAGTCACGTCTGACACGAATCAACTTGTGGAACGTTGAGCTGCCACTCTACAAGAACTCATAGATCAGTGTGCTCTGCTGAAATGAGTTCTTTTTCAAACCAAGTGATCAAACGTGAGGATGAAAAAAAGACAAGTTAGCATTACTGCAAGCAGGTAGTTAACAAGTTTTAAGAAAGCTCTTCAAAAGACCTAGGCAACTAAAACCATGATTTCACCTACAAAACTATCTGGTTATGATACAAAGTATTCACATGAATGCACCAGTGAGTAGCTGGATATGACTAAGAGCAAGGAGGACTTTTTTTTTTTAAAAAAAAAGCAGCCTCTAATTATTACCTTGTAAACCTCTGGAGCCTAGATGTGGACTCAGGAACAAACATAGCAATGGTTCTTGTATGCCTAAACCAAACGAGAAGCACAGAACTTAAGAAATGAACCAAACAGCACTGGCAAGAATTCTTATAAGGTACCAGAATTTCAGACACAACAGACCTGAACGTCTCAAAGTATAGCCCTTTTCTTTCCACAGAGAAAGGGTTGGTTTGCATAGGAAGAGTGTGGTAGGAATGAAAGCTTATGGGGGAGAGGTAATGTACTGTGCTTCATATTTGGGATTTCTACATGCCAGTTTTGACTTTACAGTTGCCTACAGGATTACCAAAAATTATCTGATAACCAGGGGCTGCTGCTAGAAAATCTGTGCTCTTTGTACCAAACGGACAAGATATGATAAGGAGATATGGGAACATTTTTATTTCTGAACCAACACGGTAACTGGAAAAAGGTCTCCGTTTCAGTCCCGAAAGACACGTTGTCACCTCACCTGCCGGGTGTGAAGGGAACATGAACAGCTCCATAACCTCTGACCACATCGTTTCCAAAAAAGTCAGGTCCGTAGACGCTCACTACGATCTGCGGCCCTGCAAACAAAGTGTGTGTGAGAGGGGGTGCCTGGTCTGCGAGCTGGATCCCACCACCCCCAGCACTCACAGCCCGACGGGTTGGTGCTCTTGAAGGTAATGTCGATGGGGAAGTTCCAGACCAGTGTGGTGGGCGCGACGTTGCTCTTGGAGGTGATCTGGGAGATGCCCTCCTCCAGGCCCTGCGGGGAGAACGTGGGATGGGCCAGGGGCTGCACTGAGCCCATCACACGCGCACTGCCTGTGATCCCGGAAAGCGGTAATTAATTCACTCTCTAAGACTCAATTTTGGAGTTTTAGAAAGCAGGCTTTCTTTATTACAGTGCTGGACACACAGGGGGAGAGGTCCTCCTTGTGTGTGTGTCTGGAAACAAAACCAACAAGCATTTCTACTACCTTAATCATACCTATTCATTGCATTGTTATCATACCGTTGTCCTACTCCTAACTTTTCCAGGAACTCATTAGCATATATTAATGTCTCTTGCACGTGCCTGTTGGAGACTTCAGGTAGTTGTTGGGGGTCTTTAGATGAAGGCTCGTAGTCTTCTTCACCGTGTCCACCAGCTGACTCTTCTGTGCAAATGCAGCCCTGTGCTCACATGTATCTTGTTCTGCCAAGCTGCCCTGGTCTGGTTTTGTTGCCGATTTGCAGCTTCCTTATCTCTACGTTTCTTTGCACCTGCACCTGCATGGCTGAACCGTCTCAAGTAAGATTATTTATGAGTCCCTCATCCTACAGTTATTCTACCTATTCCTCAAAAGATCAGCGTTTGTGTGGTCCCATCTGCAGCCCAGCGGTGGAAACAGCTTAAACTGATCTCAATAACTCGGTTCTACAAGTATCTGCTCCCTGGCAATTTTAGTTCACGGGGATCACCTGGCGGCAGGCTGGGTCTGAGGGGCGCGCAACGCGGCCTTACCGCTGTGGGAACCCAGTCTTGGCCGTAGACGAAGCAGAACTTGCAGTAAAGGTCGTCAAAGCCCGGGAACTGCGGGAGAGAGGGAGGCTGCGCTGCGGGGAACGGCGGGGGCTGCGGGGAACGGCGGGGGCTGCGGGGAACGGCGGGGGCTGCGGGCAGCCGTCCCTGAGGGCCTGCCCGCCTTGTCGGGGCGGAGGCCCGGCCGGCCCTGCTGCCCTCCGGGCGGCGCCAGGGCCGCTCGATGGCCCCGGGAACCGAAGCCAAACGGCGTGACCGGCCCCCCCCCCCCGCTCACCTGCCCGCTCTCGATCTGCCCGGTGACCGCCAGCAAGAAGACGCTGGGGCTGCCGGCGGCCGCCATGGCGCCGGGCGCGGCCCGCCCGCCGCGGGTTGCCGTGGTTACGGACGGCGCGGCGGCGGGGACACACCGCCTGGGCGGACGGCGCTTCGCGGAGCTCCCGCCCCCCAAAAGCGCGGAAATTCGCCCCAAAACGCGGGCAGCCCCCAGCCGCATCGCCTCGTGAGCACCCCCCCACCCCCCGCCTTCTCCAGCAGCGCCGCCCGGCCGCCCCCGCACCCCCACGGCCTACCCGCTGCACCTGAGGGGGGGGCTGATATTTCGAACTTTCTACATTATTATTATTTTTAAATTACCCTATCTCAACCCCAGTAAGCCCTTTTTAAAGCCAAGCCAAGGCACTGCGGCCTCCTCCTGGCAGCAAGCACCGAGGACGTGGCCACTAGATGTTGCTGCCGGCCAGGCCGAAGCTGCTCCATCCCCTTCCCGGAGCCATGAGGTATTTTCCAGGCAGGGAAGACGTTCGGGATCGGTGGGAAATGGTGCATTTTGTGGTGTCCAGAGCTAGCCATTTTGTGGTAGTCCTTGCTAGCCAGGCTGCTGTGAGGAGAGGGGGAGGCCGGCAGGGTCGTTTGTGTTGGTGGTGCTGTTGTCTGCATGTGGCCGCCCATATTGCGGGAAGGGGTGGAAATGGGATTGTGCTGGTTTAATTAGCCTTAATTAAAAGGAAAGGGTGAATTCTATGGTGTAAACAAGGCAGACCAGTACGCTGAGGCTCTGTGGAGCTGAAACAGCTGAAATCTGCTTCTTGGCATTTTCTGAGGCCGCCCCGTCGGGGCTCGGCATCTTGGCCACCATTTGCTGCGGTTCATCCCTTCTCCTCCTTTCTGCATCCTAGACCGTGCTCCCCTCCTCGGGAGCGATCCAGGGGGGGTGCTTTTTTGCCACCAGACCCTCTGGGGAAGGATGGGAAGAATGAAGGAAGCTCAGCACATTTGGGTTTCCCGTGCTGTGGTTGTGACGAGTCGGAGACCTTTCACGCTCGGGCTGAGCAGGGATGCACCTCGCAGGGCTGGGACAACACTTCGGTCCTTGTCCTCATCCACTAGCTCCGTTTTATCTCCCTCCTGGCAGATCTGGTGGGGATGGCTTTGCTGCTTTGGCTCCCTGCAGTGCCACACAGCAGACGGCTCACTGCAGGTGTCTTTTCTTAAGGCAAAGGGACACCCCGGGGTGGCACCTCTGCTGTTGAAAAGGGTGGTTTATATTGGACTGAAAGTAGACTAATGTCACACTTCGTGCTGAAAAATACCTTCCATCTTCCTCTAGATGTATTCTCTGTCAATAGCTATTTCAACTCGATTGTTCAGATTTTATTTGAATTTGTTTCTTTCTTTAACATTCAGCAAACAGACTTGGCCGAGAGAAGAATGGAAGAAAAGCAGGAGGGGTGGGAGGGAATGGCTGAAATTTTAGCCTTTCTCCCCTGCCCCTCAGAAATGCTTCAGAGAAAATAATTCATTTGAACTGAAAATTATCAGGGGGGCAAATAAAGCAGTTCTTGACCAGCTGTCCAATGCAGCTAGCAAGGCTGTTTAATTAACACTACACTTGGCTACCAGCTACCTCAGAGCTAGCTAAGAGCCAATTTAAGGATGTTTTTCTTGCCTGGCAAGTGATATACAACTGCTGGAGGAGTTAATATCAGCACTGGGAGACCTGCCCCATGGCAGAGAGAAGGCAGCAGGGCTATTCAGCAGCTCTGAGTCATCTGTACCTGCTTGTTGAAGGACTCTGTCCCCTCCCAGTCATAACGAGACCTTTATTTCTTTCCTCCCTTGCATGCCAGTCTTGTTCTAATTAGCTGCACTTTTAATCTTTGTGAGTAGAATAAAATCCCAAGCAAGGAAGCATTTTTACCCTGCTGGAAAACTTAATTAATGATCCATCAGAGAGTTTGATTTCCGAGCATAATGAAAACTCGTGGATTGCGGCGATTCCGTGGGTGTTATTTAACGATGTTGCTATTTCTCTTGGCCACGTAAAACATTCACCTCTTCTCTCAGCCTTGCCCTGATCCTGTGAGATGTGAAGGGACTGGCGGGAAGCCTCCCTGGGGCGTTTGGGGCCTTGCAGGGAGGAAGGGCACTTGCCTGCTGCTCGCTGACTTGTCACCTCTTGCAGATGCTGTGCCCACGTCGGGTGCCGGCTCCAGCAGGATGACTCCTAGTCCCTTTAGCCCTGCCTTCCTCGCGCGGGGCGTGTTGAACAGCTAAGGAAATGGATGTTTTCCTTCATTCCCAGAAAGAGCCAGACGTTGGAAAAATTCAGATTTCTTGGAGCTCTGTCACTGAGAGCTCCTGAATCAAGCCGACGGACCTTGACCTGACTCCCAGAGCCGAGCGATGCGCTCCCGGGCAGGCTGGAGCGCGGCCGTGCCCTCGGAGGTTTCCGTTGGGGTTGATTCTGCTCTCGGGTGGGTGAGGGCTGAGCTGGCCCTCGGGCGCGGGGACGCTGGTGGAGGCTCTCCTCATCCAGGGACACGCTGTCAGGCAGTGACAGAGCCGGTGGTGTGGACCTCGGGCCATGCCTGTTGCCCGTCACCCCGTCTCTGGGCTCCTTCGGCGTAATTGCAATAGCAGTAGTAGAGCCTTTGATGGGAGTGGCAGGTCTGGGTGCTGCTGCTCGCTGCTGCCTGGGAGAGAGCACGCTCCAAAGTCCTGTGCGGCGGGGAGATACCCAGAAATCAGGTACTTTGTCATCATTACATTTTCAAGTACGATTAAACCAAGCCCGGGGCTGATTTGCTGCTTCCAACAGGCTCTCGGGGAAGGTGGGCGAGACAGAAATGACAATACAGTGGCACAGCAGAAAAGTTTATTTTTAATCCCAAATATTTACGATCAACACCTGCTAAATGGCCAGTGAAATACTTTTTATGGTGTCATTAATCTGCAATAAACCTGTTTTATTTTTAGACTGTTTGCACAACATTGCCAGCCTGACTCATCCCTGCCTGCATTTTATCTCTGCGAGGAGGCTGCAGAGAGCTTCCCTGCCCTTTGTCTTAACAGCCCGTTACTTCTGTTCTCAGGGCTCTTCCCACCTGCTGCTCAAATCAAACGGTGTGGAAGGAGGATATTCTCATAACATCAAGCGGCAGAGCCGAGGAGGATATTCTTGCTGTAATTCTTGCTGAATACATCTACCCGGCGATTTATTTTGGTGGGAAGGTAACTGGGTGAAGGCAGGTGGGGCGAACTTTTGCGTTGCGTGTCTGAACGCCACAAACCAGCTGGGAAATGAGGCCCGAGGGGTTACGGCTGCACCGGGAGGGTCCCTGTCACCCCCGGGGACAGCGGGGAGGGGGCTTTGCTGGGATGGGGGACACACACCGCGCTTTGTAACCCGGGCAGGGTGTGAACCCGGGGAGACTCGCTCCGTCCTCAGCCCAAGCACGTTTTGCCAACACCCTGCCCCAGAGCAGAAAAGCGGGCCAAAAAGCCAAAGCAGACATTTCAGTATTCAGTATTCTGCTCCCCCTCGTTACGCTGGGTAATTTAGCAGGTTGGGGTCCAACTCTGACACCCCTGTGCCCGTGTGGCCACCAGCCCTGCGCCAGGCAGAGCACCACTGGGTACGGGAGGTATCGCTGCCAACAAGCTGTGAAATGTCCAGTCTTCTATGAAGAATTAATTTGTATAGGAACTTGTTACCATTTGTGAGATTTTTTTTTTTTTTTTTTTTTTTTGGTGTTAATGAGGAAAATTAATTAGTGACTTAGTCTGAGCCAGTTAGAGTACATGAACATGCAGGCAGGAAGGGGGGAGAGGGTGAAGAGGCCCGGAGAAGCTGATTCCCAGTGGTGCCATTGGATTTGATAAGGGCAAAAGGAATAAGCAATAACGGGGCTCTGGGGAGGGGAAGAGAGGATGTGAAATCCCTCCTGCTCGCTGGCCGCCCGCCCCGAGGGTCGCTGCGTTTTCAGGGGACGACTCGGGTGGGAAAGCCACTCTCTGCTCACGCAAACCCTGGAAACGTTGCCACAGGCCTTCGGCAGCTCATGTCTCTGAGAGGGGCAAGAAGGAATCAAAAATAAGCCCTTCCAGGGGATTTCAATCAAATATTCTGGTTTCTTTCCCGTGGTGTGACATAATGAGGGTTGCTGGCGTTTAGTCTTTCGCCATGAATGTTTTTTTTTTTTTTTTTTTTCGCTGGGTAGCCCAGTGGCCGCAGCTGGAAAAAAAAAAACAAAACAAAACAAAACAAAACCCCAACCCTGACCTACAAGTGAGTGAACACGAGTGAAGGGTCCCGGCCCGAGGAGCAGCCCAGCCTGGTCACAGGCCCGAGCTGGGTGTGAAACCCTCCTGGAGGCATTCGCTGCGCTCACCGCCGTCGAACCGGGGCGTACGTCTGTGCCGCCGCACGGCCCTCAGCCCCCAGCAGCCCCACTGAGAGGGCTACAGCCCCACCGGGGGAGAAGCGGGGCTGCCTACGGTAACACCGTTTTTCTGGCAGAGGATCGAGCGCCCACCCGGCGTGAGCTTGAGGGCCCTGGCAGGGTCGCAGCAGCCAGGCGTGTTTTGCTGCTTAAAAAGCCCCAAAACAGACGCGGAGATTTCAGCCCCTCGGCCCGTGCTGCTGGTGCTGCGGCTCTGGCAGGCTGCACTGAAATGTCTGACTGAGCCCCGTCGTGTAGAAGGCGAGATGGCCCCAGCCATTAAAACACAGCCACGTATTGAAAGCTTAAGAGGGAAGGCTTAATGGATAAAGTCAATTTAATTATTCATCCTAAGAAAGCCTGTACAAATATCAAATCCTTATTAGTATTCATGTAACTTGTATGATCTCACAACACTGACAGATTAAAGGTTGTATCTAATTGCAGTGGGGATGGATTCGGAGTTGGTTGGTTCGTTGTTTTTTTTTTTTTTTTTTTTTTCTTTAAATGCTTTTTTTTACTCCCCAGCCTGATGAATTTCAGATCGATGGCATCTGAGATTTAACCTTGAAACAGAGACCACCTGAAGGCTCTTCAAGTCACTTTGTGATGGTTTCCTCAGCCCCTTCCTCAACATGGTGGGTTTTAATCCTCGTTTGATCCCCACTCCTCAAAGGCTGCCAAAGCTGCTCCGGGCAAGCCCAGCCCGACGCTCTGTCATCCCTGCCAGCTGTGGTTTTGCTGAAAGGGAGAACGGTGAGGGCAGCGTCTGGCTGACAAATGGACGCGACTGAATTATCATTAAAAATGCAAACTAGCAATCGATCCAATTAAATAATAATGACTTGCATTTATCCGGTGCTTTTCGCTTCCGATCTTAAGCAGCGCAACCCTTGCCGACAGCCCGGTGGAAATTGCTTAACATCACAGGGATTTCGATCAGCAGGAAAATCAACACCGGGCGCTGTTAAACTGTTTCTCTGTGCCGTTGATCAGGGCCGGGTTTGGCCTGAGGACCCAGCGCCAGGAGCTCGGGGGGGGGGGTTTGGTCCCTGAAAGTCCAGGTGACCGTCCCCAAAAGAGACATCGGGGAGCAATTGGTGGTCACTGTCTGGTCTTAAATAATTCAGTGGATAAATAATTCCTACGATTGCCTGTGGCATCGCGGGGCTGTGCCGGGCCAGGGCTCCTCTTGCTGAGGCTTCACCAGGGTTTATTCCCAACGCTGTAATAAACACCTTTCCCTGGTGGCTGCTTGCTCAAAGCTCCTACTCCATGAAACGTGTTGGTTTTAACAAATTAACCTCTTTACAAAGGAGATGGTTGGTAACGTCAAACCCACCCCCAGCACGTGCTGTGTATTTTGGGTGATGCCCACGGGTTTCTCCTGTGTCTCCCACTGCAGCCGCGCTGGGCTCTGGCCGCAGCGGCGCGGGAGATGCCTGTCCCATCCCGTCCCATCCTGATCCTGGTCCTGGCTGGGCGACAGGCAGAGGAAGCGCCTCTTTTACTGCCTTTACGTTTCTGCTAGCATAAAATAAGTAGCCTCTTGGCTGCTTTTTAGCCTGCCGGAGCCTCATTTAACGCGCTCCAAGCTGCAGTTCCCGCTGCAGGGCGAAGGCTTTGGGACCTGGCTCTGGGTGCCCCCCAGTATTCAGCCGCTTGGCGCAGGCGCGGTGCTGGCCCGTGGCCCGCGTGGGACAAACCTCCGGCCTCGTCCCCGCCACGCTGCCGTGGCCTCAGGCCTTTCCAAGGGGAGCCCCCTCTCCGTCACCACGCAGGGAGTTACCAGCAGCAGCCACCAGCCGCTTTTCCTCCAGCTCTGGGGCCCCCAGAGGGGGGATTTGGGCGGAGGGAGGGGGGACACACTCACACGCTGCCTTTCCCAGCAAAGCTGAATTATGACAGCGGTCCCACCCCAGGCAGCCTCCCCCTCTGCCGAGGGATGCGCCCCGGCGTCCCACGCGCCTCCAGGCAGGATTCAGCCCAGCGCTGGGGAATTCGCCTCCCTCCTTTCCAGTCTGCTGCTTAAACTGCAACGAGAGGAGTTTCCCGGCGTCCCCAAAGCGCTATTAATAATTAGTTTTATGGCGCTTTTCTGGAATTCCTCGCTATCCCACTGAGACGGAATCATTATTTACAGTAATCCTAAATGACTCTTAATTACGGCGGCGCAGGTGCTCGGAGGCAGCCGGCACGAAGCCGCTCGACATACGGAGGCTCACGGGCGCGGTGGGGGAGCGGGAGGTGGGGGCTCCAAGCGCCAGAGGGTTGGGGGGCTGCCGAGCTCTGGGAGCGGGATGGAGACCCGGCACAGAGTCAGGCCACGCTTCCAGTTTATACAGTTTAATACATGTGAAACAAGATACATTTCCTTTTGAGTAATGAATGCATAAATAACAGAAGATATATGTGAATGCATAAATATGAGGCGGCATGGAACGAACCAAACAAAAACGATTGTTTTAATTAATTTTTTTTTTTTTTTTTTTTTTTTTCCCCTGTATGTCTTTTTGCCGCCGCCCGGCGCTCAGGCTGACGGCGCGTCCTCGCGACGGGCTCGTTGCTGCTCTTATTTCACATCAGCTTTTCCATGGCGAAGCTGTCGCGCGGTGAGAGGGGGGGGTGGGGAGAGGGGGCAGGGACTGGAGGCTAAAAAAAAAAAAAAAAAAAAAACAACCCCCAAAACTGAAAAAAAAAAAAAAAAAAGAAAAAAAACAACCCAAAAAAGTGGTGTTAGCAGGTGACCTGAATTCCTCTAGAGGCTTCTCAGTCGGAGCCGGTGCCGGGGGGGCCGTGGGAGGCGAACGTGTCCTCGTGTGGGTGCAGGGGGTGCGGGGGGAAGACCGACAGAAAGAGTGCAAAGGGGACGGTTACGGCTGCCACCGGGGTTTCGAAGGCATTCTGCTACGAGGAGGACAAATCCTTAGCTTAAATGCTCACAAAGAACATCACCTAAGACAGCTCTTTATACCTTTACATACTGTATCAATAATTTACTTTGAACTGCAGTAAACAAAATACATTTCTTAAATAATTTACTATTTATTTGTTTTGTTTTTTTTTTTTTTTTATCTCTCTGTAAATTTAACTTTTTCCTTTTTATCGTCTTTTTTTTTTTTTTTCTTTGTAACACAAGAAACTGTGTTTGTGCACGTTAGTTCAGATTATTGCGACATTTAACCTGAATTTCAGTTAAGAAAAAAAAAAAAAAAAAAAAGCAACAGGACAGTTGTACAGACAAGAATGAATAACTTATTATTGCACTGGCTACAATTCAGTAGTGATTTGGTTTTGTTTTTTTTTTTTTTTTCTGTAGTTAGGGCAACCTCTAAAGTACAAAAGAAAAATGAGAGAGACGTCTAAAGCATCAGCTGTGAAAAGAAGCTGGTGGGATGATGATGGAGGGAAGGAGAGGAAAAACTGAAAGTGAAGAAAGAGAAACAGTTGGAAAACGAATGGCCGTAATAATTAGTTCCACGTAAAATCCAAGGAAACACCACCCAGTTGCAGAGTCACATGTAATGCAAAAAACAGTATTGTTTCTCTATAAAAATATGTGCATTATGAAGAGAGAGTTTTTGTGGGTATTTTTTTTTTGTCTTTTTTCCTTGTTTTGTATCTCACAAATACATTATTTCTATTTATATAGCTGCTGATATACAGACAATGTACAGCTCCCATCTCCTGGGCACTCCCGCGTAATGTGACATCTCTAAAAGGTGCCTTGTTAAAAGTTGAGCATCTTTAAAAAACCAAAACCAACAAAACCCAAAGAGAATCCCCCAAATTCCAACCGCCACGAGCCCGAATCAATGTGATTGAGGCCACGGAGGGGGGTGGGAGGAACGAAGCGACCCCCTGCATCGACTCCACCTTCCCTATAGAAAAGAAACCCCCAAACCGCTTTGCAAATCCACTCCCCCCACCCCGAAACCCATCACCGTTTCGTCCAGCCGTTTGTTTGGTTTCTTTTTTTAATTTTTTCTCTATTTGTTTTTGTTTGTTGTTGTTGTGGTCTTTTTTTTTTTTTTTTTTTCCTGGTGTGTGTGGGTGTTTTTTTGTTTTTTTGTTTTTTTGTTTTTTTTTTTTTGCAAACCTCCACAGCGCTTAAGAACAAGTGACTGCGAGAAAGGAGAAAAAAAAAAAAAAAAAAACCAAAAACCCAAGAGCAGCCACTCGCGGACCTGTGGCCGCTCAGTCCCTTCGGTTTGGAAACCCACATTGGTGTCAAGCCCTTGAGACCCCCCCGCTCCCCCCTCCCAGTGAGCTATACTGGGTCGTCTATGTCTTCCTCTGTTGCGAGAGTCACAGGAACCAAGTCCTGCTTCCGGAGGGGGCTCTTGGCGATGCCCAGGAGCTCTTTGCTTTTCTCGGCGTTGCTCCGCTGAGTTTTTAAGTGATCCGGCTTTTTCAGTTCGGCGGCGGCGCCGGGGTCCCCCCGGGCGTCCCCGCAGGCCGGCGTGGCCTGACCGCTGTCCAGGAGGAGATCCGAGAGGCTGCTCAAGGAGCCGCCGTCCAACTGCTCGAAGGAGAAGTTGGGGATGGTCAGGTGCTCCCCGCGGCAGGGGGGCTGGCCCCGGCGCTCCGCTTTGGGGGCCGGCTCCCCGGGCTGGCTCTCCGCGAGCTCCAGGGACTCTCTGTAAGCCGGGAACTCGCAGGACGGGGTCCTTCGCCGCAGCATGCTGTTCTCGGAGGGTTTGGTGCGCGAGGCCGCCCCGCCGTCATCCTCCATGGGAGGATCTATAGAAATGCAGGGCGGGCTCATCTTCTTCTTCCTCCGGGCTCCGTGGATGTACTCGGACTCCGCCTGGATGTGGGCAGAGGACCGGTGCTTTTCCCCGACAGGGTCCTCAAAGCTACAGTCCCCGTCGCTGATGGAGGGGCAGATCTCGATGGAGTGCCGCCTTTGGTCGTCAGCCCAGCTGGGCTTGTTGAGGAAGCCCTTCGTGTCGATGCTGTAAAACTTCTTCAAGTCCTTCTCCTTGCTGCTGCCCCTGGAGAGGCTGGTTGTGCTGCAGTTCTTGAGGGGAACTGGAGACGGGGCCGGGGAGATGAAGGGCGAAGTCGAGCGGCTCCCGGTGTCCGAGTGCTCCCCTCCCCAGTCTTTGGCCGAGCTGTTGATGTGACGAACCTCCTCGTCAGCCAGGTCGGAGGACTCGAAGAGGCAGCCCTCGGGGCTGGGAGGGCTGCCACCGGGGCTGGGCGTCCGGCTGGGGACACCGTGCTGGCTGCAGCTGTGCTTCCGCGTGAGCGTGTTGGGGTGACGATGCGGGGAGGATGGGGGGGAGCGCGGGGGGGTCCCCGGGAGGGAGGCAGCCGAGGGATGGAGTGGGCTGGGGGTGAAGGTGCTCTGGGGTGGTGTTGCTGATGGTTGTGTCTCTCCAGGCTCTGTTTGCAGGCTGTCCTTGCGGTCCGGAGCCTGCCCGTCCGCGGAGTCCGTTCGAATGGCCTCCTGGAAGGTGAGGAGAGAGAGGTGGGGCGAGAGCCTGGGGATCTGCCACACTGGTGGCACTTCCAGTGATGAAACATGGCACGTGGCAGCGTGGTTGGTGGGTGTAATGCACCCCGCACCACCCCATCCCTGTCCCATCATGCCAACCTTCTCTTTACAAGAGGGTGCAGTTTAGCTAACAAGCAGACCCAGAGCTTACGTGTAATCCTCCAGCTAAACTGTAGCATCCCTATGGAAGAAAGACTAGAAATTTGTCATAGAATCACAGGATGGTTTAGGTTGGAAGGGACCTTAAAGATCATCTAATCTCAAACCCCCTGCCCCGGGCAGGGCCCCCTTCCCCCAGCCCAGGGGGCTCCCAGCCCCGTCCAACCTGGCCTTGAACCCTTCCAGGGAGGGGGCAGCCACAGCTGCTCAGGGCACCCTGGGCCAGCGCCTCACCCCCCCCACAGGGAACAATTTCTGCCTTAGATCTCATCTAAATCTGCCCTCTTTCAGTTTAAAACCGTCACCCCTCGTCCCATCCCCACCCCCTGACCCAGAGTCCCTCCCCACCTCTCCTGCCCCCCCTTTAAGCCCTGGGAGGCCGCTCGAAGGGCTCCCCGGAGCCTTCTCTTCTCCAGGCTGAACCCCCCCAACTCTCTCAGCCCGGCCCCCCAGGGGAGCTGCTCCAGCCCCCCCAGCATCTCCGTGGCCTCCTCTGGCCCCGCTCGAGCAGCTCCGTGTCCTTCTGCTGTTGGGGGCCCCCGAGCTGGCCCCAGCACTGCAGGGGGGGGTCTCACGAGAGCGGAGGGGGAGAATCACCCACACAAATGTTTTGTTCTAAAAAGGGGAATTCTAATCTCAGCTCCAAGAAAAGAAACCGAAGACAGGACTGGAAAAGAAGGGAAGGACCAGGCTCTTGGCCTCTCACCTGTCTGCACAGCAGCTTGTTCAGAGTAGGAGATCGAGGTGTGATGTGGGGGGGGAGGATCTTCCAGCGGTGGCAGCCTTCGTGGCTGGGAGTCCGGCCTGCCAGCTGAAGGGACTCCGCTGGGACTCTCAGAGAGGAACACGTTCCCACGGGCTGGGAGCGGATGGAGGTGATGGACCCTGGGGAACAGAGAGAGTGGTCACCACCACCACTGCTGTGGGAGATGGGAAGGTTTGAGGCAGAACTGGTGCCCACAGACTCCAGGATGGGGGTAAACGCAGGAGGGGAAAGGAAAAGCCTGTCTAGTCTGGCTGAAATCCCAAGCCTCAGCCTTGGGCAGTGCCAGGATTAAAATCCCGGGTGTCCCTTGTCCTGTCTCCTGCTTTGAATACCAGGCTACATCTCATCAGGGACGGCAGGGCGGTTGGAGATGAAGTCTCTGCAATTCAGCAGCATTGCACATGGCTCTGCCCGCTCTGAGATATCGCCTGTTACAGACTTTATGCTCACAGCCTCCATTTTCTGTTTCAGGTAACAGGAATCTTCTCTTGCAGCTGCTGTGACACCCAGGGTGGATGGCAGCCACCGGGACCCCATGGCAGCAAATGAAGGGCTGGAGGTGGGGTTGCATTTGAACCCCTGCCATTGCCGCTTTCCTGGTAGCATTGCTTTGCGTGGGTTTGTAAAAGGATGTTGCCTGTTTGGAGAACGTGGATCAGCGAAGTCTGGTGGCCGTGCCGGATCCTCTGAGTCAGGACACCCGGGTTGTCTTTGCAGTGCTGTCAGGGATGCTGGCAGCTTTGTAACGTGGAGCCTCAGAGCTCGACTTACAGGTCCCACCAACAGCCTCGTACAGCCCGCGGGCACCCGGCCACCGCCTTCTCCGGGAGAAGACACCGCTGGCATGCACAGGGCAGTTTTCCCATTCCTTACAGCCCGAACACCACCACCATCATCTGTCCACGAGACAGACCTGGGCTGAACATGGTCGGATCAGCAGCATGGAGACCGTTTCGAGTGCTTTGACAGTCCCTGAGCTCATGTATCAAGCAGGAATCGCTTTCTTGCTGAAGGCTCCCAGTCCCCTGGCTGAGCCTAAAGGCAATCCCTCCTCCCCAGTCCCTTTGTGGTGCTGCTTTACTGCAGTTCTATGTTGTTTGATAGATCTTTTGCCTTTTTATTTTTTTGGCTGCAGGATTTATTGTCCTCATTAGTTTGAAACCCAACGTCTGTTTCTACATTGCTGCTCCATGTTAAAAACACAGCTATCCATCACTTCAAGAGATCTCGCCCAGAGGTCAGGGAACTTGAACCTACGACAAAAGCCATCCAGACAGATTGCAGTTGCATTTCAGAAAGAGATTTGTTGTTGGGAGGAAAGAAAAGTTACTGTTTAATCATTTTTCTTTTGGGGCTTTTCTCCAGAACACCACAGAAAGAGCAGAGCAGCAAGCATCCCACCTCCCACCCTACCCCACTTCTCCCTAGTTCTTTCTTGGGTTCTCCTACAGCCAGAGTTTCTGACCAAGTCTGTGTTGTTCATGTGCTAATCCAGGCTTTATGAAATGCTTTTTATGATGCAGAAAAACTTTGTCATAAAATCTGTCACAAACATGGTCATAAAATCAAAACCTTAGGCTCTCCTCCCTGTCCTTAGTTGGAATTTCCTTCTGTTGGAAACTTTCCACCTAGCTCTCATATAGGAACCAAAAACCCCTCTAAACTGCATACTCAGGAACGCTGAATATCTCTGGATTTGTATATCTTTCTCTTGTTTTTATGCCAAGTCAGAAAACTGCATCTAAGACCAAAATAACATAAGATCTTGTAATCACATAATATTTTCACTGAGTATTCACCAAAGTATTGGGAGAAGACCAGACATCCTTAACTGACATTGAGAAGCCCATGAAAGCACAAATGCTAATGTGAGTCTCTACGTGCTCAGTTCCACTTGCACGTAACTCATGGGATTGTGACTTAAATCAGAGTTTGGTCAGCTCAGAAGCAGCACAGCTCTGGGTGATGCTGCTTGGATGCATCTACCAGATCAGGTAAAAAGTAAGCCCCTGTCATATCCATCACTCAAGTGCTCTTGGAGAGACATTTGAGAAACATGAGAAAATTCTTGGTCAGTTCTACCCACCCCTGCCAACATCACAGCCTTTTTATACTGGTATAAATCCTGATTTATACCCACTACAGAGATGAAAACCATCCCCAGTAGTCCAGCCATGAAACTCAACCTCTGTTTTTGCTCAGCAAAGAATGTGCAGGTGAAATAATAATAAATACTGAGCAGAGAACATTAACTGGTATCCAGAGAGTTTGAACAAATATAGAGTTACTTCACCCAAGGAAATCAGAGCAGATCCTGCCAGCCCCACCAGGGTTTGCAAACCCACTAGTCATCTGTCCAAGCAGTTCTTGCATTTCAAACAACGTTGCATCAAAGGAAACCAGGATGGGAAGTTCTTGGGAGCCACTCAAGAAGCACATGTACTTTTAGGGAGGCAGATATTTTCTTTCTTATTGATTTCCCCTTCAAACCAACTCACACAACAGAGAAAGGCATTTTAGGGCAAATGTATTTGGAAGCAGTTGGGTAAATGTATACTCAAAGGCTCTGTGTAGCTCCTGATTCCCTGACTGCGGGGTCTCTCCACAAGATTCATTATAAGACCAGGCTAGGTAGGCACTGGAGAGTGGTTTCTAATCTTTATGCTCCCAAAGAAACCCCTGCATTGCTGAACTCAATGTACCATGATAAAAAGATACTGCTCTGAGACTGAAGACTGCCTGAAACGAGAGCTGTAAAGGAGCTCTGTCAGGAAGTAATTCCAACTCTGGCTTTTATTCACGTTGATTTTATTGATTTGTAGTCATGATGTCAGGGCTGATCAGAAGAAATGTGCAGCTCGTACCCTCAGCTACCAGCCTGTCCTCTACGCCTCCGATGTTGCTTGGGAGCCCCACTTCTCCCCAGTCACACCTAAGCCACCAGCCATCTCCTGAGAAAAATGCAGGCATGTGATGAAAACACAAAATTGTGCAGCGTGTGGGAAACTGCAGTCCTGCTGATGGCATCAAATTGAGGGAAGCGAGCCCTGGCTCAGCCCAGGTTGCTTACTCCCCATCTAACCACCACGTGTACCTGCTACCCCCTGGTTTCTCCTAGGAGGAAGAAGGGAAAACTCCGTGAGCAGTACCTCTTTGGGATTTGCAGGGATACGTTTCCATCTCCACCTCGTGGAGGGGGAAAGGGGCTTTCGCTGGCATCACTGGCCGGAACATGTAGCTGTCGTTGGGCAAGGAGTGCATGCGGGAGACGGAGATCTTGCGGACCGTCAGCAGGTTTTGAGAGTCCTGTGGCCTCAGAGAGGCTGCGCCACCCTGCAAAGCAAGGAGACAGGGAGACGGGGTCATTCAGTACCTTGGTGGTGAATTTACAGCAATCTCCTTCTCGTCTGCTTTTTGTTTTAAAACCTTGTGCACTTGTTCCTCTTGGCATCTTACAGAGAGCCTGGAACCCCGGTGACTGCAACGGGATACCGAAGCTACACCGTGCTAGCTGGGTAAAGAGCTCAAGTTGCGGCTGGAGTAAAACGAGGCATCAGTGACCCACCATTAACCTGACTCGTGGACACCAGAGAGAAAACGTAACGTCCAGGAAAATAGGGCCCACCCTCTAAACACATGAGGATGCCAGCATTTCTCATGTGGTTCTGCTCTGATTTTTCCCAGGGATGCTTTCAGTCCAGCCTGGGTGGTGATGCCCTTCTCCTCAAAGCTACTCTGGGACAGATGGGCAAAATTGGCCAGACCTCAGCCACGTTGACCGAGGGGTTTCTCGAAATTCATGTATTAGTATCTCCCCAAAACACACATACAGGCAGACATTTAAACGTAGACATCAACACCACTGCAGACCCCGGGGACTCTCTCCTACAACACGGAGCATTTCTGGCACCGCTGACCCCAGAAGAAGACAGCCACGTGGCAGGAGGCAGAGGAAGGAGGAGACATCATAGCAGCACGTACGTGGGTGTGGAGCCTGTTCTGGGGCAGAAAAGGGATTTCTCTGCATTTGCCTTTGCTGTCAAATGGAAAATGGTTGGAAGTGCTTGGACAGAACATGTCACAAACCTTAAACCTGACCCCCTCACTGCTTCTCTGACGTCCTCTTCACTTCAGGCACTTTACAGCAAATTTATCCTGGGGCCTTAGGAAGCTTTAGGGACTCAAACGATGTCCCTGTGGTGCTGACGGAGCAGCTGTGGGAGGTGGTGCCACGACTTGGCCAAATGCTGGGGCAGCGGGAACCCTTGGAACAGGATCTGCAACCTGGCTCCTGGCCCTGAGGTTTTGGTCCTAAACACATTCCCCTCACAATTTACCACGTTATCTAAAGTACAACTGATTGCTCTGGTTTTCCTTTAATGTCAGCCTCCCAATGACTGATTGAAAACATTTTCCCAGCTGCATGTCTTAAATTAAATGTATTTTGCTTTGCTCTGCCAGGCTGTTTTCCCTCTCTGCTAGCAAAATCTGGGCCTGAGATCCCTCTCTGGATAGTTTGGAGGTCACCAAGGATCTGGTTAAATCTGTTTTTTCCATACATTTCTGGATAACAAATTTATTTCCTCAGATCCCTAAAGAGACACATCCTGAGACAAATTACTCGATGCCTTTACAGTGTTGAGCTTGGCTGGAAAGATGGGGGGATCAGCAGCAGTTATTTACAGGTAGTTGGCATCCAGTGCTGACTGCTGCCTTGCCCAGCAGCCCTCCGGGTGCAACCCAGGTCTCTCGTCTGATATATTAATGCATCAGCAGCGTGGCTGTGCCAGTTGGCCTCTTGCCATTACAGCTAATAAGCTATCAGCATCACAACACCTGAGCTGAAGGCAGGCGGGCGATTGTTAACACCCAAATGCCACACAGAGAACAAAAGGTTTTGCTCCACTTTCTCGGTAGTCTAACAGAAAGATCATAGTATCTGTCTAGTAAACCACAGTTTGTCTTTACAGGATCTTGTATTGGTTGTGTCCAGCTGGGACAAATAAACAGAAATCCCTTCTTGACAATAAGAACTGCAATTTTGAAAGTTTCAGCTATTGAGAACCAATTGTCTTAGGGACGCGGGCAAATTTCAAATGGCTTCAAAGCCACTGTAATAAATACTTGAAATATGAAACATGGACAGGAAGCTTGTTAGCTCACACCTGGTGAACTGCTCTCGACAGCTACAAAGGTTTGGAGACATACCACCACTGGCACTGCTGCTCCTCCTCTTTGGTGGGAAACACCTGATGCCTCAGGAGCCTGATCCCATGCCTTGGAAATCAATGTGGCTCCTTCAAAACCCAGGAAAGCCCAATCTGGACCAGTGCGGCTGAGACTGTGTATGGTGAACCCTGCCTGTAGGTACCCTGAGGGCTTGCGAGCATCCCAGGCATCTGACAGCGATGTGCAGGGTGGGAGCCTACTCGCTGTGGGACCCCTCTCAGGCCAAGTAGAAAGACAGTAAATTGACCGTAGACAGTCTTGGTGATGCAGCTCAGAGGCTCAGTTAAGCATCTTTAATCAATAAGCACAACTCCTTCCTCTTGTGTCTGGAAATCAATAGTCTGTTTGAGCTCTGATTTTGCTCTGGTGCAGAGGGAGCTCGAGAAGAAATAATCCTGCAAATACCTCCACAGGACATGACCCTTTCTGGGTGATTAAACGGCCAGAAGATACTCTGTAAGCAAAGGTGACTGGCAGGATGCTCTGGGAGAGGGATCACTGTAACTTCTCAAAGGCCTGGAGCCAAGAGCCTGCAAACAAGCTGTGGGCAAAATTCCCAGAGGAAGGGCTCCTCCTGATCCCTCTCCAAAGGCCTGTGCCTCCAGCACTGCGAGGGAGCTTAGCCATTTCCCGCAGCCTCGGCGGTGGGGAAGGCAGAGGCAGAACAAGGGCAGGAGGTAACTCCCTGCCTCTGCCTGTCAACGCTGGTGCCCCTGCACAGACCAACTCCGGTGGCATCCAGGGTCGTGCTGTTGGTCTCTGTAGAGGTAAAAAGCTCTCAGCTCTCCCAGCAGAAACCCAAGACCCCTTGCAGTTGCATTTACGAAGTCTCAAAAATTTTCCTGTCCCTGAAAGATGCCTTCCCCACGATCTCCCTCTGAGCCTCTGCAGCTTCCAGGTGGCCCAGCTAACGGACATCCTGCAGAGCTATGGACTCCCTTGCGGATTATACCTTCGCGTCACTCATCTTGCACAGGGAAAACCACTCGGTCATCAAGAGCTTAACCTGAACCCAGAATTTGCTTGGAGATGCTGTGAGATACTTGCCACTAGAAGATGCTTTGATAGTCGTGACAGAGGTCAGGTAACGAAGGGGAAAATGGCCCAAGCCTAAAGCAGACTAATTCTGGGTGGCCACTGCAAGTTCTCTGATGACGGCAAATGTGCCCCCCATCGCAGCATGTGCATCTTCATCACTGACCGTGGCTCGCATGTTCTCCTCCTCATCTGGAGCTTGTTCACCCCGGGGAGGGCACCGTGCTGCAGCAGGGTAAACTGTGCAAAATCCTTACGTGATGTGACCTGGGCACTGATTTGTGGTGGAATTGAGAGGCGGCTACAGCCCTTCTGGTCTGCTGGGTGATATCTCCTGAATCCACAGCTCTGGTGCTCGCTGAAAGCCTAATGTGCTGATCTTTTCCTCAACACTGTATCATAAACAGGTATAGTAAGAAAACCAAACTGGTCTGTGTTTCCTCCACAAAGGACACTGCCTGCCTCCAGCTCTCAATACATTGTTTGAAGACAGGCTGCTCACACATCACATCACACCACACACTAAATGCGAGATGTTTTCTGGCTAAAAAGAGTATTTCATTTGTGTCCCGCATACAGTTGCTGGCAGAGTCAGCTGGGACAAGTTCTTTGCCCAGCTCCTGCACACGCAAAGGCAGTACAAAGGACAGAGGATGCAAACGACTGCTGCAGCTGTGAAGAGACAAGTTTAGGACAATTCAGACACCACCGCTAGCTGCACAGCACCAAAGCACAATGCCACAACGCAGAAGCAACGGCACGGCATCATTCACCTCAGCCTCGTGGCCTGGGGTTTTGTGGGAGGGTGTCAGGACATGGTGGGAAACAGAGCAGAAGGATGGGATTTCCATGATGGGAGTCTCTGCCCCCTCCAGCGCGTCTGAGTCTGGGATGGTTAAAGACACATTTTCACAGCTCAGCGCCTCCTTCAAATTAGGGAGATAAAAAGCATCAGAAGCAGAGCAAGGCTGGGTCCTAACGCTCGAACATGTTTGCCCCGTGGTATTTCCTGCTTGCTCCATTCATCCAGAGCAGGAAGGAAGAGAAAAGGAAACGGGGATTGCAAAAACTGGCACAAGTGGCGAGAAAACACAGAGCATCTTGCAACACCTTCCAGGGTGGCAGGATTAGTCAGATGGAGTTCTATGTATTTAAGCTCTTCAGTGCAGCTAGCTGCGAGTGCAGGACTGAGCTGCCGGCCATCCGTGCCTGCCCAGAACAGCCTGGGTGTGTGAGGTGGGGGTGAGGGCATCGCCCCTATCCAGCCCCACTGTGGTGCCTCTACCTCGCTGCCCCACAGGGGAGGGGAAGCCCTGGCTTGCAAATCCTCACCTGCATTCAAGCAACCTCATCCACAGGGGGAAACCTATGGCCAGCTCACGCTGGGATCAGAGCATCACCTCTTACTATGGGTTTTCTAGGACTAAGAGGAGGCTCTGCATGGTTCCTGATGGGCTCTGGAGGTATTGGAAGATGAGGAAAACTCAGTGAGAATGAACTCAGGTTGCAATCACAGCCCATGTGAAAGGATGTGCCTGCTCTTCCCCCAATGAGAAAAGCAACTTGGGTGTTTATGGCACATTTTACTGCAGAAATGTCTATTAGAAACTACATTCAAGTATCAAATTCTCTATCACTGCGTAACTAAATTTCTTTTTACTTGGCTTCATAAAGTCTGATAGATTTTACAAAAACCTAAATTAATGTAATTTAATCTCAAATCCCCCATTGATTTTGCGGTAGATTTATTTGTGATCACGGTGACAAAGCAATTTTGTATTCACTCTTAATCATAGGCTGCTGACATGGGACGAGACAATTATCTCGTGCCCCTTCTTCCCTCCCTGAGTTCTGATTGCCCTATTTTTCTAGAGGACTAATAGAAATCAGAGAGCAGTGTCTGGAAAATCAACCCAGCAACCTCCAGCTTCTTGCTGAGGGGCTCTGACAATTCCCAGGGTGCAAGTCAGCCATGCCCTAAGCAGAGCATGAGCCAGCAGGAAGCTTCATCTTACACCAGTGCCAGACATGCCCTCCTGAGCTGCACACTGATTTGCTTGAGGGTCCTCTGGAAATCCCAAAGAGGGATTAAAAAGAACCTGAGCAGTATATCTGTCTGTGTGAAGGGAATTTATGTCATGCCTTGCTATATGTGTCGGGGTTGACAGTGCCAGCATTCCCAGGGTTTTATGAGATTGCTCCCTGGTGCTGCTGCCCATGCTAAAATGACAAGGACCAATGAGTAGGCTGGGAGAGCAGGACACAGGGACCTGTGGCTACTATGGTTCTGAACTTAAAATTCACAATGAACTGGAAATGACAAGAGATGGACTTTCAACCCACCCCCAGAACACCAGTTAGGCCAGTGTTAGCCCTGGAGAGCGCGTTTCAAGCAGCTGTCCACCTCAGGGAGCTCTCCTGAGGTGACTCAGGATGTGGAGGTGGTGGTGACATCTCTGCCATAGGAGGACCCGGGAAAGCTGCCTTCCTCCCACACTGCCCTGTCTCCCGCCTCTTTGGCTCTGTGTCACTCAGGAGCTGACTGCCCGATGATCAGACACCGGTGGCTGGTTGAGAACCATCCCCTCCCTACCCTGAGCACAAGAAGAGCAGATGCTTTGCATGAACTATTACCGGGGCTTGGTGCTTCACCTGCACCGCTGGCTCTGACTTCGTGGTCTCCTGACTTCTGAAGGGTGCCCTGCTTGCCGGGGCCACTGCACCTCCCTTGCTCCCACTGGTGGCCGAGGTGGTTGCTCCTCTGGACATCTCCAACTCGATCTCAGCATCCATCTCAGCATCCTCCTTGGCCTCCTTGTTGCTCTCCTCCAAGTGTTTCATCAGCACTGCCACCACCACGTTGACCAGGACGAACTGTGCGATGAGGACGAAGGTGACGAAGTAGACAGGAGAGATAACAGGCAGGTAACTGAGGCAGTGTTTGTCTTCCCGAGTGCATTCCCGGAGGGTGTCCTGCAACAGAGAGGGGGAGGTGAAGGATTAATAGGGGCTGGGGCTCTGCTTGGGCTCCAAATACAGGAACATCAGAAAAAACCTGCTGAGGACTGAAAAACATAGAATAACATATCCCAGACACAACGGCTTGTAGGTACAACTAAAATAGACAGAAGAAAATACGGACACCATGAATTATATCATCTACGAAGAGGAAGATTGTGCTACAGCCCAAAGTCACAGGGCACAGACTACATGGTTACTTTGCTCAGCCACAAGAACTGGGATGATTTTCCTGAAGTATTATATATATATATATGTTAAAAAGAATGAAGTTTCAGGTTGAGTAAGACTTAGGACAAATTATGGCTTGAAGATACACTTGGCTTTTAAATGGGAAAATTTAATTTTGATGTTTTAAAAGGAAACCCTTTTTGTTTGCACACAAGAGTTGCCTAAATTTGTTTGAAATCCGTATCTGTATATTTACAGAGAGAATAAAGTACCCAGACAGAGATTGCACACACCTTCATGATACCATTCCAGTTGTCCCCCGTTGACACCCTGAAAAGGGTGAGAAAGGCCATGCCAAAGTTGGTGAAAGTTGCATGCCGGCTCAGACCTTCGCAAGGATTTTCTTCACTGCAGTCTGCAGGAGAGAGAAGCAGACGCCTGTCAGTGAAGCCACGTTTGCCAGTGCTTATTCAGAGCAGCCCCCCAAAAACCTGGCGGTGAGACCCTAAGATATGGCACACTGATACACGGCATCAGGGAGGTGCTGATCTCACGGTGGCCTGCAACTACTGAAGGGCAGCTGCAGAGATCATGTAGCCAAACTCTTCTCAGTGGAGGCAGATGATATGCTGGACAGCAACACACCGGGGCTTAGGAGGTCCACATTGGACATCAGGAGAGTTGGTTTCACCTGGAGGCCCCAACAGCCCCGGGACAGGTCACCAGAAAGGTAGGGGAGGCTCTATTGTTGGAAGTTTTTGAGATTTAGCTGGACAAAGCCACAGCTGCTCTGAGCTACTCATGGGGCTTCAAGTGGGAGGCTGGGTGGGGGCCCCCAGAGGCCTCTTCCACCAATGTTTCTGTGATTCTTTTGACTTTACCCCAACGGGCAGAGCCAACACAAAGAGATCTAAAAGGAAGCGGAAACAAGCAAGAATTGCTGGGCTGTCTCAATAAATACTGCTTTGCAGTATTTGTCTGTTATCCTCTCGATTCTGTCCTTGTCTTGTTTATTTTTTACAGTGTACATCTACCATGAGGGATATTTCACTGAGATAAAGTGGAACCATCTGACATTTTTCCCCTGAGAATTAATATACTAATGAATGTAAATTGAACATATGAAATACGTCTCTTTCCATAAAACACAGGCTCATTAAATATTCATTAAGATAGGCAGCAATGTCTCTTGCTAGGGCATTTTACTGTTAGGTATTTATTTCAGAGGCAAATAGGGAGGAAAACCAAAAAAAAAAAAAAAAAAAAAAAAACCAACCCACAAATGACCAGTCTTGGGGGGGGGGACAAGCGCTGATGGTTCTTGTGGCTGTCATGGACTAGCAGTGATTGGGAAAAAGAAGTGGAAGTATCTCCCAGTTAAATCAGGGTAGGAAGCAGTGTGCTGACTGCCTGCAGCTTGCCCCAGACAAGATCAGGGCTTTCCCAGTCCCTGACCACATGCTGTGGTTACCTGGGGGCTGGCACTAGAAAGGTGTGTGCGTGGAAACACAAAAAGGTTTCAGCGCAGCAGAAGGTGCCTCTGTGAATAAGACATTTTTCATCTTTGTGGCTGAAGAAATACGTATCTATATGTCTAGATATATAATATAAACCCCACGGTATTTCATTTGGGGTGGATGCAGAACTAATATTTTCCCAGAATTTGTTGAAGACTGAAAAATAATTTGTCTCTGGTTGAAAGAAATATTCTGCTTTCAGGCATTTGTAATCCAAGCAGAGGGCTGGACTCATAAAGGGGATTAATGACAGCCGTAAAATCACTGCGGAGGAAGGGCCCTTCTGATGCTCTTGAAGCCCTAATTGGGATGCAAACACTGAGAAAGCAGACACATCTTCCAACAGCATGTTTAAAGGGAGCGACTGCCTTGGCCTGGCTAAGCTGGGCAAGGCAGGGCTACAGTGTTTTCTCTCTGACTCCACCTGATTTTCTTTTTAGTGGTGGACACATTCATGATCAGCCACGCAGTATCCTCAAGCTGGAGGAGTAAATGATGCTGGACAGTCAGGAACCAGTGGATGCTTCCTGATTTATGTAGAAAGGGGAAGGGGGTGCTGAGAAGAACAATGGGCAGACAAGACTTGGGCAGCTGGAAGAGCAATGTCAGCCATGTGCAGAAAACTAATGGAGTGAGGTGGAAGCTCTGAGGAGGGACATGTTTATAGTGGCATCTCTCCAGCACAAATCTGACTACCATCCAGCTTTGCAGACTCATGTTCTGTCTTAAGTAGCAAACTTCCATCTTTGTGAATATATCCATGCTGGACAATTATATTTAAACAGTAAATAGTTCCTCTACAGCCAAGGGTGGTGTTGGACAAATCTCTAAATGTGTGTGTGTGTGCACATTAGGTTCTGTATTACATCCTCATGTGTCATCTGTGACCTTGAGATCAAGAGAAAACTTTAATCTTCAGACCATGAGCTATGAAGCTAAGGAAGGCCTGAGAATGAGAGAGAGAAGAAAGGAAACAGCTGGATACCAAATAAACATCAACCGGATGAAATAAATTGTGTCAGGCACATTACTCACCTAGCTTGCCAAACAATTCCACTCCCAGGGCAGCATAGATAAAAAACAGGAGCATAAAAAGTAGGCCAAGGTTCCCTACCTACACAAGGAGAAAGCAGAAGAAGGGTCAGGCAAGTTGAGGTTACGAATTAAATTGCTCCATCACATTTTAAACACAAGCAAAAGAGGGACTGGTGGCCAGAGGCGGCTAATCTTCATCCTCCCTGGATTCCAACAGCTCAGTCCCCTTTCAGGGTTCTGGTTTAACAGACCCAGAGAAGTCTCCTGTGTGTGGGAAGTTGCAGATACTCCCACGTGCAGAGCAGTCTCTGTGGCTGGTGCCTCTCCATCGCCCTTCCACTTACCCGGGATGCCGCCTTCATCTGTAATTTGGCCAACCTGGAGCTGTAGCCTCAGTGGCACTTAGCACCGCACTTCAGTGCAGTGGTAGTTTAAGTGAACTGGTGCTCTGGTTTGAGTTTTAAGGGCCTTTCCCTTCTGTTGGCAGGTTTGAGACTCTGAGCACGGTATTTCAAGACAGTGACACTAACAAGATGTGTCTCAAGCCACAAGAGGATTTGCCTGATTTTCAAAGGTTTCCCTGGCCTGGAGGGCTTTCAGAAGAGGAACATACGCTCCAGTAAGATGTAAAGCTCTCCTAGCCTTGCCACTTTACAGATATTTCTCAACAACAAATACCTGAATTTTAGCTTTCAAAAGAAAAGCCTTATTTCATATACCAATACATAAATGCAAGCATCTTGCAGTTCAAACACTGCGTGGTGTGCTACTGTCGGGTATTAACATGCACTGCGAGGTGGCTGAAGGGGACGGCAATTGAAGGGCAATGATGCTAAAGGGAACACAAAGGTTCTTAATAACAATGGCATTACAATTATCCACACTGGAATCAATCACTACATGGGGTCTCATCCTTTAAAACATCTCAAAGAGCAGATTTTTTGGTGATTCAGACAGAGAACATGAAGGGCAGAGTAACCTGACCAGCTAACCACCTGCATTTTGCCTGCAACTAACTCTGGTCACATTTACCTCTCCTGCCACTTTTAAACACCTTGTGCCTATCAGCTTGTAACAGAGATAGAGCTATCGAGTTCTCCAATTAGACATAATTTTATCTCTAAATACAAATGAACTAGGTGGTGATTCAGGTAGTTGGGCTGAGGGATCCATGATCTCCAAGGTATCTTCTAGTGAACTCTACAGTTTGGGAGAGCTTTCTTCTCTGGGGCAGCACAGCCACAATATTGCTGAGTATTTTGACCATGCTGCTTAATTTCATTAGAAAGGTTATCAGTACAATACCTGTTATCATAAAATTAACGCAGCTATCACCTATGAACCAGGTGTTCTTTTGGATTAAAGAAATGGGAACAGCCAAACCACCCAGTGGAGTCTGTAATTGCTGTGAAGCATAAACTGGCTACTACACATAGAGCTTTCAATTCCACTAACATTATCACCATACTCCAGGGAATAATAGAGATAATATAGTGATGTGGATGGCTGGTCTGGATTATTTTATCTGCATGTACTGTCTTCTGGAACTGTGTTTCCTAACTCATGTCTGCTGGACCACTGGTGATTTTTAAGACAGAAGGCAGTCTGCAAAATGACTGCAAATTAGAAAACACAGGAAAATAGGCACACAGACAAATGCACACACACACACTGCCGGGAAGGCAAATGAGCAAATAATTAAAGAGAAAGAAAATAAAAGTGATAAACAAGTTTTCTAAGCTGAGTGTAAATTAAAGCCTGATGTTATAGCACTGTAGAAGAGGGTCTTGGAATTTTTTCAAAGAAGCCTGACTATAAGCTGAGTATTTTACTGCTATTTTAATGCCTAATAAATCAGCCTTCAAACTTCTGGCATTGATGAAATTCCAAAGAATTTAGACTAACATCAAAGTTATTACCAGGTTATCAGTCAAAACTATTATCTATCTCTCAACATCCAAAGCATGTTATGAGCTGACATTTGCTCGTAAACAATCTGCCTACTATCTAATGTGCATTTGTAAAACATTCTGTATTTAAGATCATGACTAATTACATTACTGAACCAAGTGTCTCATAACTAGTCCTTCAAAGACCAGTTCTCACTCATGGCTTTGCTGTATAGGCTCAAGACACCTCAGCCATAGGCATATTCTAAAAATGCTGACAGAAGCATGCTTGCTAATGTGGTGTTTGTTGGTGTCTAAGGCTGCACTTGCCCTTGGCTGAGATCAGACACAGGGACAGTTCCAAAGCTCAGCTGATGCACAGGAGCTCTTGGGAAGTGACTGAACATCTGACTGATGTGGAAATGTGGCTACGTGAAAGAGAGATGTGGGAGACAGCAGCAAGTCAAAGATTCTGGGATGGGTGGTGGCATGACCTTTACTGTTAATCTCCATCCCAACCTGTATCTAGACACCCAGAGCTGCTCTGGAGTGTCAGCTAAGCAGCAGGTTGTTCTCCATGTGCACAAGAACAACCTGCAGCCCTGACCACCCCTTGGAGATGTAGCATCCACATGGATATGTGCAGGCAGTTGGTGGCTCGTGAGGTTGAAGAGGACATGAGTTTCTCAGCAGCCCACAAACATCTGATGCTCAAGAGAGTGTGGCTGAGCAAAATGGCTCACCTCTTGCTTTGGTGCTTCAGAAAAACTGCTTGGTCTGTTTGTCTAGCTTCTGGCTGTACTGAATCAGCACAAGTCAGTGCCAGATTGAATATTTTGTCAGCACTAGTCCATGACTCTCTAGTACCTGTCCCTTGGGAAAGGAGAGGAAGGTCCTCTTCAGCCCATGGCCTTCACCAAGGCCTGAGCACAGAGAATGACACAAGGCATGCTCTCAGAGATGGGATGAGGTGGAGACAGTGAGGTCATCCAGTGGCTGCTGAGTAGCAGAGAAGGCAGGCTGGATGTGTGCCTGTGGCCTTGGATGAGTCACTCCTCTCCTGTAACTCAACGTACCCATTTGTAATACCCTTGCGGGTAGGTAATTAATGTCTCTAAAGCACTCTGAGATCTACTGAGACCAGACAAGAAAAAGATTGTGCATGAATCATGTTGCTGGGAGGAACGGGAAGGGGCAAAGCACGTCCAGGCACTTTTCTCCAGCAGCCAAAGGCTGGGATGCTTGTGCTGGACTCTCCATCAGGGACAGAGATCCAGCTCTGGTCAGCAACCTCAACTTTGACAGCTGGTCATCGAAGCAGACTCTGAGAAGTGGTTCTGCTCTAGCAGCACTGAACAGGTCAGCCCACGCTCTGTTTATCAGTCAAACTCCCCCTGACTTGGGCTGGTGCCTTTGGCTGGGCAGAGAAAACTACAGATAACCGCTCTCTCCAGAAGCCAGGGGCTATCCATCATTTGCTGTGGCTCCAGTGTTGAGGGGAGGCTGTGGCCTGTAAGGAGTGAAGCAGAGATGAAGAACATCTTGGAGATGTTCTTGGTGCCCTAAAGTACCTCAGAGAAGATGGAGACACTGGTGAGTATCCGTGATTCCTCCTGGACCTTCATTTTCTGGCATCTTGGCTGTCATATACTGCTGGCAAACTGTGTGCATGGGACAAAGGGATGCTGTGGGGAGAGGGGCAGAGTCCTTCATCCCACCCAGAAAGGCAGGGAGGGCCTGTATGAGGAGCTACCACCCTTCCCCACAGTGCATCTCAGATGGGCCTACCATTTGGCTGGGTTAAAATGGTCTGTGAGCCCTGGAATAATCCTCAGCAGCAGGGAAAGTGACTCTCCTCTCCACATACTCAGGAAAACTCTGATTTCCTCTTGCAGACATCACTGCTATTAGTTTTTTGTCTTCTCCTAAGTGAGACTGCAGTAGCTAAACACCACTGTGTGTCCCATTAGAGTTCAACCTCTGGCTTACACCACTAAGGAAAAAGCCCCGACCTGCAGGCAGATAGAGAAACTATGCCAGGCTGTGTTAGCTTGATATGCAAGTGTGTTGCGCTGATCATGTACAACAGGACACTGGCCACCTGGGCGCTATCACCCCTCTCTTGCACTGTCAGCTGTGTGATCCTACCCTAGTCCCTCTAGATCCTGCTGGCCTCTACTCTCCCTGCTCTGGGAGAGGCATTGATGAAATATGTGTCTCCTGTTGCCCCACTCCTGCAATGGCCGGCTGAAGCACACTACAGTTCCTCTTGTGCTTCTTCCTGCTCTGACATCAATTATTTCTGCATCACTGACCCACACCTTGGCATTTCAGTTGTCCATGCAGGTAACACACACAGCTCTCTGGGACGCCTGTCAAGAGCCATTTCTCACAAAACTAAGCCCTTGCCAAACCTTTCCAAGGACATGAGTCCTCCTCATCTTCCTTCCAGCATTCTCCAGCCAAAGCAATAATCCTGGCAGCAGGAAAACACAGGCTAATTTATGCACTAGATCCAAGAGAAAATGGACATATTTGTCTGCTTGGAAAACAGGCCATCTGTGTGAATTCCAGGACTAGTGGAAAGGGCCAGACAGGCAACATTGGAGGCTAAAGTCATCTCACTGGTGCAACCACAAGGCCATGAGCTGAACTGAACGAGCTCCCCTTTCTGTGTATCCACTCAGTCCCACAGAGACCAGTGCTAACAGCCAGCACAACGGCGGTTTCTTCACTTAATTTCTGCTCTGCTACTCAATCTCTCAGGCATCTCTGCACTTCTTTCCAGTGTGCAGCATAGCACACACATACCCATCTTCCAAACCTGTCTCATCTGCAATGCTTGCTGGTAAGACATTTCTATTCTAGCTCTCTGAGCTTCACAATCACTGTTGGTTTTCTGGCAAAAGCAGACTATTGTTTCTGTCCCACCACTGCTGTTAGACAATGCCAGAAAACCTCTTCAAGAGATGAAATTGAGATAAGCACAGGAATTACAGCACCAAGAAGAGTTAAACTTCTGGACAGGAGTAAACTACAGGTTCTGTCTTTCAGGGCACTGATAGAACAAGGAGTTCTTCACTTTTTTATTAGCACAGAGTCCATCTGGGGGGGGGGAGTTCCAAGCTTTGAAGACAAAGAGGTGTTATACTGTACTGTCCTGCATTTAATTAATGTGCCATCCACAGACCAAGTGAGAAAAAAGAAAGAAAAAGAAACCAGATCTTTTGATAGGAAAGTTCCACATTTTGCTATTGTTGGCCCTGAAGAGCCAGGATGTCAAGTGGACTGGATTACACGTTTTCCTCTCCATCAGGGAAAGTGCTGGTAGCTTTGCATTGACTGCAGGTTTTCTTGCTGGCAACTGATACTAGAAGTGCTGTACAGACTGAGCTGGGCTGCTCAGTATGTGGATTCACTTACACAATGAGCATTTTAACCGAGGCAAATGTAAAGTTACAAATCTGAGAGCGAAGTGCCTGCTATGTTACAGGAAGGGTGGATTGTACTTTGGAAAGTGGGAGATGTGAAAAGAACTAAAGGATTACCATCAAATAGGAGTCTTAAAGAGCAGACATTGCTTACAAAACCAATGCAGCCATTAGATGTATAAGCAAGGGAATATTCAGCTGAAGCATGAGTGGCATAATTCATTATATAGCCTTAATGGGGCCAGAGCTCATAAAGAAGAGGAAAACACTTGAAACAGGGCTTCAAAACCTGCTTCATACTGAGACATTAAAGGAGTTCAATGTTCCTCTGTTTGCCAGACTGCAAGTGATTATTTTATCTCTTATTGCTCCAAAAAGGAGAAGTTCTTAAAGAAAAAAAAAGCAAAATTACAACCAAAGAAAAAACAAACGTGACTAATTCAGACTAAAACCACTAAATTATTTTAGCAGAAAGAGTAAACATCTACTGGAAGAATCTATTTCATCAATAGGGGATGGCCAATTCCTTAACACTTTGGATCCTTGAGGCAGAACCAGGTGACTTTTAAAGGATATGCTGAAGTTCAGTGCAGAGCTGTGTGGCTGGTGTTATGCTAGGAGCAGGCTTCTGCGATCACAGGGGAGTTTTCAGTCTGTGAACAGCAGCACTGAACTGGCTTGATGTCTAAGTGATGAAGCCAGTGCTGGTCATGCTAGCTTAGCTCTTTTCAGCTGCTCAGTTTAAAGCAGTGCATCTATTTCAAGTTTACAGCCGTGTAGCTGATTTTAGCACTTCATACTTTAAACTCCATGACAGATTTTGTTTGTTCTCTGGAGGGGTATGCCATGAGGGGACACCTTCAGAACTGAGGCTGGCAGTGCCTTTCTAGGTGACCATGGCTCCACTACCAGTTCAACCTCTTGGTCAGCCAGCTGTGAAATTGGAAAACTTGGATTCCTGGAGTCCTGAAAAGGAGATACTGCCTCAAGACTGCACAGCAGTGGGTAAAAAAGCCAGAGCTGCACAAGCACAGATGGTCTATGGCAGGAATGTGATGATCGATTCAGACTATCCCAAACATTTTCTGGGACTAAGAGGGCTTGGAGGTGGTTGACAAAGAAGGTGACATTTTGAGATCTTTCCCTGACTATTCTTTCTGTCTCTTTTGCCTCTACTCCTTTGTTCTCCTCTACTTCATCTCACTTTTTTCAGAAACGTGGTGATGGAGAAGATCTCTGAACTGGTAGACATGTGGTTACTACACAAGGATGATGCAATAGGGTAGAAAGTCTTCTTGCATTGAAAACAGCAGCTCGAGGTCAGTCTGAAGTTCCCGAAGAGGAGGCTAAGCCTGTACTGTGACAGTTTCAATCTTGGATCAAAATGCTAACATTCCCTCAAGTCTAGGGATAGTTGGTTCTCTAAGTGTTACTCGAGTTATATCTGCTGCTAAATAAAAACAAATAGGAAGCTGATGAAGATCACCCAAGAAAGAAACAAAAAAAGTGCACTGCAATGACAATATCTTGTCACGGTAAGCCCATAAATGGACATTCTACATATATCAGACAAAGAATTTCCCCCAAAACCTTAATGAATAGACACTAAACTAGTTTTTCCTGTCACTTAGAAGACACATTCAATGAGGATTTTCCAACTGCAGTTTTAGGCTGCTAAATTAATTGGGGTAGGAACTCTTCCCCTTTGAAATGAAAGCTGTAGCTCTATGAAGAGTGATTGTTGTCACAGAGGTCTTCCCAAACTTCCCTTCTCATTTTCTTAATTTCACTGGAGGACAAAATGACATTCTTATCTGCACAAGATCTGCTTGGAATATCCCTGAGGATTTCCCTTTGATTTGAATGTAAACTGCAAAAACATCCCAAGGAAACAAAAAGTCTGGCCTGCAGCCACCCTATTGTTTGGGGGGGGAGAGAAAACAAGGAAGGAGAGAATATATGCTCTGTAATCACAATGCTTTTGGAAGAAAACAAAATAGACACAAATCAAATGCTTTCTTGAAATGCCAAAACATGGGTCAAGTTGGTAAATTCCATGCTTTAGTCTCAGCCAAAATCCTTCACTGAAAAGGAAATCTGAATACCAAAGGGCAAACGCCTCAGATTAGAAAAATCTTTATGGCAGTGATGAAAAGTAAATGGGTCTTTCCAAGAAAAAGCAATTCCCCTTGTTTCCCAGTTCATTTGAATAGATCATGGGCTTCTTTGCACTTAGCAAATAACTCATAGGAGTATATTTGAGTAATTACATGTACTAGTTCTACTGATTCTCATATGACCACTCATATTCTGGAAGAGATGTCGACACGGTGTCTGCATTTGCCAAACCACAGTGCTATCATCCTGCCTTTGAGATGTGATCCCTCTGCAGATAGCTGAAGCTGATCAAGATGTGACTGCCCACCATGGTATGCTGCCATCTCCCTGGGCCTATGGGGCTGGGAAAGGGGAGGCCTGGCTCTCCCAGTCCATGCCAGGGCACAATACACTGGCTTTTACACAGAATGGAGTGGGGCCACTCATAAAGTTCCTTCTGACAACTCAGCTGTGGGATATTTTGGAGGGGTTGAAAACTAAGGACTTGTCTGACCATGCTTGTGCATTCTAAAAGTGCTGCTTCTGAATTGCCAGCTCAGAGGAGAAGGCTGCAGAGTTCCTCTGTCTCATTCTTGATGGCCTGGCACCTCATATTGGTATTCACTCCTGGGTAAAGCGTGGCAATAAATGTTTCACTTCTGATCTCAGAGCATCTTCACCCCATCTTGTATAGGGGTGAATGAATCCACAAGAATCTACAGTCCTTTTCCCCACCTCCAGTACTGCCTGGTGGGATACAGGATCCTGGTGACATATGAAACAGGAATGTGTAGGCAGCTGAGCTGACTTTAAAAGACTGAAAGATTACGAATTAGACCACCAGACCTACAAACTAGCAGAACACAGTTTAAATAGCATAAGATTTTAAAAGCAAAGGAACCCTCAACTTCTTGGAATTCTGCTGTGCTTTCGATCCTTTTGAGGGAGGAGTGAAACTCAGCAAAGCATTTATTTCCTTCTTTTTTCAAACAAATGGATCCATAAAAAAGCGGTCACAGGTACTGAGCACTTGAAGGTTCTTATCAAATATCATTAAAATCGGCAGCGTCATTGTTCCTCTTGCAGCTCATGAGGATATGGTCATTTAGGATCCCACTTCAAGCTTTTAACACTCAGAAACATCTCCCCTACTTGGCTTTCAAATTCTATAGCTCCTCTGTCAATAGATGTCAGTAAACCTGATTGCTCCTGTCTCACAGAGACAACTCCTGAGCTGGAAGCTGCCTATTTCCAGTGCTTTCACCAACAGCTTTTTCTGTCTATCCTTGTGTTTCCTGAACTTGCCAGTGAAATCTGTGTTTTAGAAGAGCTCTGTCTACAACATTTGTCTCTCTCAACTATTTTTCCCTAATCCTGGTTCTCCCACCTAACACACTATGCGAGCAGGATGTGCCATGCAAAACTGTGCTACCAAGGCACTGGTGGCAGCAGAGAAAGCTGATATCCTCCCCAGCTGGCTTCTAGTGCCCACCAAACCTGGTGGCATAGAGCTGCCCCAGGCCCGAAAGGCACAGTCCACCAAGGGAAACAAATTGGGTATGGATGAAGTCTGGGGGCTTACCTGGGGAAGTGCTTGTACAACTGTGTCCAGGAGAGCTCGCATCCCAGTGGCCATTTTAAGCAGTTTCAGCACTACAATGGGAATCAAATCCTGGTCAGCAGGAAATATTTCAAGCAAAACCCATCAAGGAAATCTAGCTTCAGAATTTGTAGGGAGGGTTTACATCTCTCTTGCATCTATTCATACAGACGGCAAGATCACTGCATCTTGGCAGGCCCCACAGAACATCTGAACATCATGACTATTTCCCACACCAATTAATGTTAAGGACATCAGTAAAACAGACCAATAGCCAGACCAACTCCAGCGTGCCCTAGCAGGAAAATGGGAGAGTGATAGGGAGACACTTCATTGGTGAAAAGAATCATCTCAAGCGGTGATCCTCCCTTCTCCACCACTTCCTGCTCTTGTCTGGTATCAGTATAAAAGGTCTGTGATCCGAGGTTTGAATTAGAGACCAATCTGAGATGCCACTGGAAACACCCGTGAAACCCCACCTAGCTTGTCCCTGAATTGACGTTTCGCAGTGTCATCACCTAACTGTTCTCAAGTGGAACTGAAACAGCAGGACTAGAAGAACAAATGGCCAAACCATTTCCTGAGGTGTCTGGAGACCCGTGGCGCAGGCCGTACCTCTTGCTATTCTCAGCACCCGCATGATGCGTATTATTGTGGGATTGATGGGCAGTGCAGCATTCATCTCAATTTCCTCTAGTGTGATTCCCACAATTGATAAGAGAACTATGGCCAAATCCAGCTGATTCCACCTAACAGACAAAGAGAGGAAGGACAAAAATTATACATGGACAGACACATTAAAGTAGACAATTATCTGTTAATAACAAGCACAAGCAAATCCCAAATGCTTCTCCCCTCTCTTTTCTGGGCTCATGATCTTCTATGTGGCATAAAATCAACTCCCTGCAGCTGGCACAGCCTCTGAGCCACAAACTGCTCTCAGCTGTGACTGGGAAGTGACCCTGCCCATTTCCAGGTACCTATTGTCCCCCTGCTATCCACTTGGAGCCACTCTCAGGGACAAGATACCAGGCTAGAGGGACCTCTGATGTGATGCAATAGAGCTGCTCCCATGTTATGTCACCTGTCTCTTGAATTACTCTACTTGAGTATCTTTGATTTATAGCCTGTCACTTATAGAGGGCCTTCCACACCAGCACTAGAAAGACTGTAAGGTGTGAAGAAACTGTCTTTCCTACACAATTTCTCTCCTAAATAATACTGCTCATAGCAGCTCCCAACCACTCAGTCGGGATAAATGAAGCAAATAAGCTGATCTTGTGGGAAAGCATCCAGTCTTACCTTGCTCCCCAGCAAGTCGCCAGATCACAACGTGTTTTCCTATACTTTTTCTTCTGGCTAAAAGTGAGGCAGAATAAGATCTGTAGGCCTCTCTAGCTGGGATCTGAAGGCAGTGGGGCTGAACACAACTACCTCTGTCTTTACCAAAGGCTTTTTACAAAGCCAGAAGTCTACCGAAGGACTTGCAAAGGAGACTTGTTTTGAGAAACTCTGTGACTTTAGGTTGCCAAAACTACTATTTTGGGGACTGGATTGATGCTAAGAGGTTGTTTCTGACCTCTAAGATGAGCTGGTCAGATTTGGTGGAGAAGCAGATACTGTGGGAAAGAATGTATCTAGAATTTTGTAAGATTTCCTGAATTCCTTCTGAAAAGCAGTACCAGCAGTTCTTAGAGTTTTTAGTTCCTCCACTATAAAGTTTGCACCCATGGAGAGACAGCCCCTCGCTCTTCCTTGCACACAGCATGTAGTACAATCATAGTAACACTACATTTACCCAGCATCTGGCTTTGAAACTGGGTTAATACAGCTCTATCTTAAATGCACAGGAGTTTAAAATACTCTCACCTGTCCTTAAAGAACCTTCGAAAACCAAATGCCACCAACTTCAGAACTGCCTCGAACACAAAAACTATGGTGAACACATAGTTGCAGTACTTCAGGGCTTCATCCAGGGACTGAAAAGAGAGACACCAGTTATACCAGCCCAAGCTATCCTTTCCTAGAGCCCCTGCAGAGGGACTGGCAGGCACAAGGGTGCCGCAGGCACAGAGATGCAAGAAGTAAAGTCCTAATAGTTTGCAGAGCTCAGTTACAAAACTGCCCTAAATCACACAGCAAAACTCAAATAAAGGATTAGACACTGATGCAAACTCATGAGCACTAGTACTAGTTGTGCTAAAAATGTCAAAAGCTATCAATCCTCCAACTTCAGTGCACAAAATGTTCAGTTTGGGTCAGAGAGAAAATTTTACCCCTTCCCCATCTAATAAAGTTTACTTCTGAACTGCCTAGCCTTGGGTAGAATAAAAAAACTTGATGGATCATTTCTTTATTCCAGTATGGCAATCCTTAGGACAATGGCTTTGCTTAAAACACTCAGAAATATAAATAATGTTGGAGGTGGATTTAATCTTGCCTTCTTGAAAAATGTTACATCTCTAGAGCTGGGCAAAGTATGTCCATATTTGGTGCAATGTTCACGCTCTCTATAGAGCTGCTCTCGGAAGTCAGGAATGCACAGTGTTTATACTTTAAGATGATGAGTGTTTATAATGGATTTCATTGGAACTGTAGGCCAACAATAGCAAAAGAATCTTGCCGGGACCTTAAAATAGAGAGTTGCAGAGTGAAACAGCTCTTTGGTTGGGTAGGGATTTAGGGAGAGGATTGAAGGGGAATTTAGTTAAATGTAGTATAGGTCTCTTACAGTAAGAAAATGACAACAATGATCATCAAAACAGACACAAGTGGAAATAAAATGCAATAGAGGAGTCTGCAAAGCTATGTCTGCTTTGTTCACAGAGGAAGCCTCAGGCCACAGGAAAGCTCTCCTCACCACATTTGTGTGATCACTGTGCTTTGCTGGCCCCAGATATGTGGGATGACCATGCACTGATTTTTTTGGGAGCAAGAGATGAAAGTTTTTTAGATGTTGGCATTCCTCAATTCACTACTATCCCTATTTTTGTTCCAGTGCCTAAAATAAAACGGCAACTTAAAAGAATGTGGGACAATTTACTATTTCATCTGAAGCACACTGCCTGAGCCTGAATTCTCCTATAATTTGCAATGTTTTGCATTCAGATTTAAAACACTGTGTTTTACATGGACATAAACCAAGTATAAATAAGACCTAATCTGGATAAATAACATTTACATGTAAAACAATGGCTAGTATGCAAAGGAATTATAGGGGCAGAACAGCATATAGTCAGCTGGCATAAAACACACAGGCGTTACCCTGTGGCTTGGTGCCCCTCTGGCTTAGCTTCCAGGAGGCGTTTTCAGGTTACCTGGCAGACCATCCAATACTAGAAAAGTAAACACAGGGCCTAGAGCTCTGTGAATGATAATGCGATAGAAGATTAATATATGTAGCAAACAGACAGGCTGTATGATTTATGCCAAAGGTTTTCTTGGGGAAGAACGATTTTATGATACATAAAGGAGGGTTGTACTTAAGAGTTGGTTTATTTTAAATTCATTGAGGAAAAGAAACGTTGCTGTGCATGCATTAACTTCATGTTTATATCTGTTAGTGGAATGTTTTAAAACTCTGGTCTTACAGTTTGAGGATCAGTCACGTCTGGGATCAGGAGAGGAAATATTTGGACTGGTCTTTTCCTAGTAAAAGTTTAGGTGACTTTCCACGAGCCTTATTCTCTGACTTTTTAAGCAAGAGCAGGGAAATCAAGCTTTTGGCAAGTGACTCTGGAATGATAGAGCTGGCCTAGAGTTAGACAGATTGCAGTGCCGAGTCTGGAGCCTGCCAAGGCTTTCAAACGCCAGGGAATGGTCCCGGGGAAGCAGGGCTGGCTGTAAATCTCCCTGGTCAACAGTATCCCAAAGGAACAGCGTATGGTCCTCAGGTCCTCTGCTACTCCATGCTGCTGTGTTTCACAGCCAGCGCATTGATGGGCGACTCTTACCTTTGGCTGGTTGTAGTGCTCCATCGACATAGTGATGACGTTGACCCCAATGATGAACGTGATGAAGAGGTCAAGATAGTGGCTGGTGCAGAGGGTGTGAATGTACTTCCGTGCTGGGGAATAGTCAGCGTAGTAAGGCCTGCGTTGGGCTTCTGCAGAAAAAGACAAGGAAAGGCAACGCAATGAACACAGGCCCTGCTGCATGGTTGGCAGCCATCACAGCATGGCCTGCGGGTCGTGTCTTACACACGCCCAGATTCAGCATGTGGGAGAACTGATTCAAGCAAGCCACGTGAAATGGCCAAACCTTTCTACCTAGAACCTTCAAGAACTGCAGTGGGGTTATCAGGCTGAGCCAAACCTCTTGTGCCCGCAGAAGGGACCTCCACAGCTTTGGCAACCAGGTCTGTTTTTCTTCTGAGTGCTCTCTGTTCTTACTGCTCTTTCTCAGGCTAGAGGACAACCTTTTCCCTTAATGCGACTCTTGCCACAAACCAGAAAGGATGAGAAGCATGATGGAAATGAGACCCAAAGCCAAGAGAAAAGCTTCAAATCCAGCAAAGCTTCAACTCCAGTTAAGAGGAAAGGCTTAGGGTAGGTCTCATTGGTCTGGACTCTGATATGCATCTCTCCTAATCCTGCTGATATCAGACATGTTCCACGCAAGTAAAAGAAGAACATAACCTGAGTTCAGCTTCTGTAAGAGGCGGCTTTTGGTGCACTTTAAAGGTCTAAAGAAAACAGAGTGATGCCTGTGGCAAAGAAGGACACATGCGTGAGGGTTAGTAGCACACAGGCGAGCATCAACAACAATGGAGCAGGGTGCTCTGCACTTGTCTCTACAAAGACTATCAGCACAAGCTCCTTTGGAAATATAAAACCAAGGGCATGGTTGATTCTCAAGAACCATTCAGGCTATGACCACATGAATTTTATATCTCTGCCTCTGGTCATGACTCCTTCTTTCTTCTCTTTGAAATGGGGAAATTTCTGCACGTGACCAAGTTCCCAGCGCTGTTCCAAGAAGAGTGTTTGGACACTGCCCTGTGACCAAGTTGTATTTACTGTGTGTGTCTCTCTTAAATTAGACTGTGGCCACAAGATGGCTGTGGGCACTCAGATGGAGTCAAATTCTTTTCAAACTTAAGAAATGTAAATATTCAAAGAGTGTACTTAAGGTCAAAGTCAGCATTACTGTTGATTCTGCAAGTGGAAGAGACATGTTAGGTCATACTAAGTCTGAGCAGGATTGTTCTTAACAGAGAGGGCTTTTTGCAAATGTCTCAGCAAATTCAGCTTTAAATACATGAGGAGCTGGGAAAAAGGAATTTCTTCACCTTAAAAATAAGGAGTAAAATAAGTTCAAAAGTACTCAGTGCCCCCCGAAATATATATTCCACTCCTCTTGTCTTGCTAATATCTTTCAGATAGAGTGACTCTTGAAATCTGTTTTTTTTTTTTTTTTTTTTTTTTTTTTTTTGTAGTGAAACTGATGCCAGATTAGAGTCCAAAACCCTGAAATAAATTGGATAAAGGGAAACTGAATCTGTTACTCTTTTTCAACTACTATTTTTTCTGGTAGTTAAAAGTGGAGTGGAGGTATTTGAAAAACATTTCCTTCTGACCAAGGTCACCTAGACTTATTTTTTCTGCTAATGGGTGTGGAAAAACAAGATGAAAGCAAGCACAATTGTTTTTGAATACATTTTTCTGTTGCTTTCGTGTGCCTTAGTCCTATCAGTCATCTTGGACTGGTAGGGTTGTCTTTGCTACTGAGCTTGGCTAATTTTCTGGTGTGTCTAAAAAGTAATAATAAAAATATTGCAGTGTAATATTTATGTACAGTGTGCTTTCATGTGTATTTGGGATTACTACATACTTTTTTTTTTTTTAAATTGGAAATGTCTCCTTGGGAATGCAAAAAATCAGCTTGTTGGGAGGTCCGAGAATACCTCAAATAGTCAAACATTATATTAAGGGACCATTTATTAATGACTAATGGTTAATTAATGGATCTCAGAACAACATTTGCAGTGATGGGCAGTGTGTGAATACACTGGCTAACAGCACATATGGAAAACAGGCTGTAGGTGACTGCAACTACTTTCTAAGCAGCGATTGATTAGCTATTCAGAAAAAAAATCAGGTGTTTATGTTTTATAAGCTACTTATATAATTCTAAAGCATAATCATAAGAAGACATTTTCCACTGTAAAGCCATTGCACAGAAAATCTTCTAGGCTGCCTGTCAGCAACACAGATCTCTCTTTACATGGGCTGGATATACAAACAGTAAAGAGGAACCACCCAGCCATGAAGGTGGGTCTGTTTTATTGTGCGAAAGTGTCTCAGAGGTCTGTGTCTGTACACTCTGCCAGTGCTCAGCGCTGGCTCTGACTGGTCACCTGGTTGCTCAGAAAACTTGGGACGGGTTTAACTTGACCTGGGATGAGGGAACTCTAGGAAATGCCTCCCTAATTTAGGATGCACGACATCCCCAAAGCCAGATTAACAGATGAAAAAGAAACTTCTCCTGGGGGGACACATACAAGGACAGTCTGGGATAAAGTTGGCAACGCTTCGAAACACATGCAACAACACTGTCATGCTCAGTGCAGTAACCCATGCAATGTCCATTAGAGGAGATACTGCTCATGCGAGGCTAGCAGTAGTGACAGGGGTGTGCAGGAAGGACAGGACAGCTTCTGCTGTCGGCAAAGCTGGTGTTGGGTCAGGACAATCCCATGAAGGCACAGGGGTTGCAGCAGGGTGAAAGCAGTGTAGAAATCAGCCACAGAACATCACTGCAGCTCGGACCCTCTCCGAGCAGGAGGGAGGCTGTGTTTCAGAGCTCCAAGGCTCCCAGCTCTGCTGGGTCACCATTGATTCCCAGTCCCTTTAGGAAAGGGAGTTTTACTTCAGTCAACAACACAGCAAGTGGTTCTGTCCTCCTTTCAGTTCAGACACACATTTTTACCTCTTAGTGAGAATACAGTATGTTATTCTCCCCGGTTTGGGTCTAAATGTTCACTGCGCACACCTACTGCTACAGCCTGCTCAACCAAGAGGCATGGGGTCTGCAGGAGAACCTGTACGAGAACAGCGGACCATGGGGATGGGGTCACAACAAACGGGACATCTAATGCACCATCAATTACAGTAGGCAAAATGCAACCTGTGCCTGGTTTCTCCAGGGAAATGGTTTCTGGGATGAGACTCCAATCAGCCAACTAGCAGACTTATATCAAACACAGACAAGTATCCTTTCAGCTGCAGCTGATGGTTTGAATTGGTGGAAAAGCAGGAGGGAAAGGATAAACCATCAAACATATGCAAAAGAAAAACCCACAGTCCTTTCTCACTCCCACTTCTAGATGTTGGCTAATGTTTGAATCTCACCTCTCTGCAGAGTATTTAAACTTCGTTGCTTGTGATTCTGCTGACATGAAAATTAATGAAGCACTGTCTCCTAGCTTAAAAGCATTTAGGTTGGCATTACAATTGCTAGCTACAGCTCCTCCATTATTCTCCTCTGCATGAAACATTAGAAAGCCCTAATGGGTTTATATGCATGCTTGGCACAAAGCAGCTCTATACCTGCAGCTGCCCGGAAAATTAAGCAAGATCGTTTGATAATTCCCTAGCTGAAAATACTAAACACTCAGATATTCAGTGCCCAGAATTTTAGTTATAGCTCAAATGTTTCTGCTCGATACAGAGATGGTCGTGGCATCGAGAGAGTGGACTAATATAAATACCACTATGTGATGCCCACGATTGCTCACCCCTAGAGAGAAAGACTTACAGTCAGTGCTTTGAAAGGCATCTCTGCTGGGTCTTAAAACAAAACTGGCCTCTTCCTTCTACAATGCTCAGATGCTCAGTTCTGTGTTGGGAAACCCCTCAGAGAAACATGGCTATGGCCATGTTCTTCTCATACAGAGTGAAAATCAGGCAAAAGCATTTCCTTTTCTGAGTTCTTAGATTTTGGGTTCTTCCCAGGGACCAGTGTCTTGATGACACTACTGCAAGGCACTCTCTTCTCCCCAGCTAGGGCATCCCTGGGCTGTGCCAGGGATTTCCAGCTTTTCCAGCATTGCCTGCACTGCTTTCAGCACACAGTGTCACCCAGACCCTGCTCGCAGCCTTTGAAGCCCAGAGCACTGCCTGCGTTTGACCTGACGTCGTGCTCTGCTCAGTGGGCCAGCAGCTGCTCGCTTCACAGCGGATACAGGAGGGTTTGGTTTGACCCCACATCCTGAATGCAGAGGAGATCAAGCTGATCCATGTGGCTTTAATCAAAAACTTTAATCTGGGGAGGCTGGCTTCATACTGTGTCTTCTGAGAACCTCATTAAAAGGTTAGGAGCTGCAGGATTATTAAATTACACTACACTTATTTACATAGTAGATATAGTGGATGGAGGTGGTGACTGCATCAGAAAAATATTCTAGTTTATCTTGAATTTTTACCTTTGCATGAAAAAGTACGCTGTGTAGTTCTGCCTTTGAAACCACATCAAATGCATTTCTACAGTGTATTCAACCCCCTGACCTCTTTTCTCTTGTGAGCAGAGCTAACCAGCAAACTCAGTGCCTTCTTCCAGTGCTGGCCCTGGCCTCAGCTGAGTTTACAGCAGCCTGGTCGTGCAGGCTGGGCTCTGTGGCTGCTGCTGCTGTCACGACAGCAGTGCCTTTCTGACAAGTTGGGTCCACGGGCTCCGCTGCTGGTGCCTCGAGTGATGCTTGTCATGGGAGCAGAGTCAGTCAAGGCATGCTGACAAGGGTTGTGGGGTGTCACGCCATCCCAATCCCTTCAGGAAAGTGGCCCTCAGATGGGAAACTAGAAACTTTTTGGAAAGGTCCGAGGTGGTGTCTGACAGCAGAGATGCGGGCTGAGAGGGACCTTCCTGCCAGGCTCTTCAAAAGCCTGAAAAGTACCCCCAAAACAGACCTGTAGTGATTCCCCATCCCACCTGCATGGGGTCCGATGAAGGTGCAGTGTCCTGCTCCGGGGTTGTGTCCTCCACGGAGCAATCCCTCTGCCAGGCTCACAGGGTCCAAATTCTGGACCCATCATGCGCGGCGTGGGATTCGTACCCAGGGCCTGCTTGGATGGCACCGTCCAGGCACTGATAAATTGAGGCTTAACCCCTTTCCAGGCCTGAGTCCAAGCCTACTATGGCTCAGTGGTGTGTTTCTGTGTGCATAGGTACCTACAGTTATCCGAAGTTCTCAATACACAGAAACACACAGGGTTGCTACACACAGAGGACATTACAGACAGGAGACAAAGACAAGATGCCAGGCAGCTGGGGCAAGTCCAGATGGATGGGTGTTACCCAGATAGTACATCTATGCTGGATTTTACTCTTGTTAACAGCCCTAATTCTTCCTCCTCTTACTGTTTCTTCAGGCCAAATACTGGAAATGGCAGCTGAAGGTAAAGCAGGGCTCTCTGCTAGGCTTGCCAGCATAGGCTCCTTGCTGCTCTGCAGAATCGCTGCTCTCCTGTGCCCATCCTGCCCCATGGTGTCTGGCCTCTCACCCGCTCCTCTGTATGGGTGAGACACACAGCGCTGGGGCATGTTGAAAGCTGGCCAGCCCACTGTCACTGTGCAGCATCCCATGCCTGCACGTGCACACAGACACTCCCACCCCACAGAGACTCTGCCACGCACGGCACCGACCACATCTCACATCTTTCTGAGTCTGCCACATTTTTTACCAAATCCATCATCTTCTAAATTACCCAGGAGGTGAAAACTCCTCCCATTTAAATAAAAAAAAAAACCCACAACCTATTAAGATATAAATAGTAATCTTCCAATATATGTATCAGATATTTGATTTCACCTTGTTCACAACTCAAATTTTGATGCCAAGCTGTCCATAGGCAGGTAAGAGACCTCAGAGCCAAACGATCCGAGGTAACCTCCTGGAAGCCCAGCACATGGCCAAACATTTAGCCTCTCAGTTGCTATATTGGACTTGATCGCCTTCCAGAAAGCTGTCCTCCTCCCTGCTTGCTCTCAGTGAAAAGTTACAACCCACATCTGTGCAATGCCTGGGTCTGCAGTCTGAAATATCTCCTTGACTCAATCCTTCGAGATAGCAGGATAAAGAGGGGCAATGTAACAGTGTCCATCACTTTGACAGGGACTGGCTCTTTTTGGTGTCTAAGCAGCGAGTCACAGACAGGTTTGTAATAAGATTTACTTACTAATCAGGAACAGCAACTGTCTGTGTTTAAGCTATCCCTTCTTACCTGTGCCTCAGTCTCATTTCTTTAAGGATGCTTAATGTTCTTTGTAAATTAGCACTTTTTGTTGTTGTTGCGTATAAACTTTATCTGAATATTGTCTTGGATCAGCACACTGGGGTAGAAATACTGCACGAGCAAGAGGACTCCCGAGAGCCTGAAACTGATTTCTCTTACTGTGCTGGAAATGCTGCCTTCAGGATTTCCACTTTAATCCTAGCTGGAACCTCAAACTCAAAAAACCAAAATGGGAAAAGGGAAATGAAATTGCATTTGAACACTTCTAAATCTCTGAAGAGATTCAATGTCTGTTTGCAGCTGGCTAGTTTGATCTAGATTTCATTTTAACCCAGCTACTTAACTCACAACTAGCTAAAACGAAATGGGCTTGGCCTTCACTGTAGTGTCAGGTCAATCTGTCATTAAAGCCTTGTGGAGACCATTGTGCAGGCATTCAGCGCTGTGGTCTCCCATGGCTCTAATAAAGAGGACCACAGGAGCAGGAGAGGAGCTGCAAGAGATATAGCTGCCTGCCTCCAGATTCAAGCGTGAATGGATGGAGGAAATTGGCTGGGGTTTCTACTAGCAAAGCCTCTGACTGCTACGTCCTTAGAGCCAGGAAAAAGACTATTCAATCTAACTGCAGTTTTCCCAGATCAAAATGGATACCTATGGCTTGATGTTTGGGAGGCAACTAGCCATTTGTCACAATGAGAGATTAGGTCCTTCCAGGAGATTACACAGGGCAGCACAAGGCTAGGCAAAGAGCCACAGGACTGCTGCAGCAAGCAGGGCCAGAAGTACTCAAACCTTATCCCTGACTAAGCTCATCTTTGACTGCAGTGGCCAAGTCATGTTCCCTCACGTACTTCTAAAAAATGCTTGCCAGCATCTAATGCAGGCTATTCCTGTTCACTAAAACTGGCTGGGAAGTCGGTGTGGCTGGTTTTCTGGCAGTTTCCCTGGGAATACCCAACAGATGCTACAGGCAGCTTGTCCCTGATGGAGCCTGCCAAGGAGCAGTGGAAGTGAGAATTAATACATGAGAACCCCTGGGAAGGTTTGGGTCAGGAAAGGAGCACAAGCTCAGGTGTTTTCCTGGTCTGGTTTGATGGTGCCTACTAGATCCATTGAGGAACAGATTTCAGCTAAAGGCCTTCTGTTGTACCCTAATAGCCCTGCATCAGGCCAGTATTTCCATGTTGACTGTTTGCAAGGACAAGCCGAGTCCCAGCACATTGCTTAGCAGTGAAGGGCTCCCCCAGCCTCTGATGGGGCAAGCATCTCTTGTAATGGACATCTTCCAGAGAAGAATTTCCTGGACAGCCCCATCTAGGGGCTCCATTACTCTCCCCAGGGCTGTCAGTTTGTTCATGCCCTCATGCAGCATGTTTGTGGCATGCGGGGCCATGCGCTTGGACTCTAAAAAGCATTGCAATTATTTTGTCTAAGAAAATAATTAATAAATCAAACCACCACCATCATCAGATGCAAGCGGCACATTAAGCCACAGGGCTATCCTTGGGACTGGCCTTCACGCACACAGTAAGCATTGCAGCTGTTTACTGCATCCCTCAGTCACACCACGAGCTCCCGCTTGGTGCTTGGGACACTTCTGCCTTGCAGAGCATGACAGGGGACTCTGCTTGGAGGAAGATTTTCTCCCCAGCCAAGTAAACAGGTAATGCTTTACATCAGGCTTGTAGAGGACAATTCCAGGGTGTTGGCAACCCGAGACTTAAGGTACCGCCAAAGAGGTAACGAAGCAAAACAGCCTCTTGAATCCCATGGAAACAAAACCAAAGGAAAACGAAAGTCTTGCTTTGGGAGCAGGCAGGGCTCAGAAAGATTTTGGTTTGTAACGCAGTCTACCGACCAGACAGGTATATCTCCTTACTCCTGCGCTTTTTCTCCAAGCGTCTTAGCCGCTTCTCCTCCCGACGCCGGGCCTCCTCTGCCTCCTGGTGCTGTCGGCACTTGTGAAAGTTCTCCACCACCACCCCCACAAACATGTTGAGCACGAAGAAGCTGACGATGAGCAGGAAGGAGATGAAGTAGAGAAGCATCCAAGGGTTATGGTTCTGGATGGGCTGGTGAGGTGGGGAATTAAAAAACAAGAGAGAAGAGAAGGGGCATAGACAAGATGTGTATAAGTCAGGATATTGGGCACTCTGTAGCAACAAGACAGTACAGTACACTTTTGTGGGCAGGAGAGGGCTGGGAGGAGTTTGGAGATTTTTCCCCAAACAGTTTCCTCTCATTCATTTTCTCACTGACTAGAATTTTACTTTTGTTGTGAAACCCACACTAGCATTCACAATTTGGCTTACAGAATTTAATTATTTTGGCATTTATTTCATACAGCTTAAAATAAATCTCAGTGGAAGTGTAACATCCCACCTGTGAGATCATTTTAGTTAAAAATAAGCTCCAGCTTATTTTTTTTGAGATTTGTGCTCATGGTTAATGCTTCCTCAGTTGTTACAAGATCTTCAGAAGCAGGAGAAAATTTAAGTACGAAGTGTTACTGTAGCTATGATGGGGTATTACTCATCTAAGACTCTTGACTCTCCTTTTCAGATGTCACAAAACACACAAATGTAACAACGTCTCTTTCACAACATTTCTGGTTGTTTCCCATCTTGTGAGAGTTTGCTCATATCCATCCCGCCTTCCATGAAGCCGCAGTGCAATGGCACGTGTGGATCTCCTCAAGTACCATCATTCTAATGAAAAACCTCATCAGTGTTTATTTGTGTACTACATGGGGCATAGCCACAGCATAAGCTACTCAGTGGAGAATGGAAAACCCTGGAAGCCCAATGGGCAATCAGGACCTCAAGGGAGGTCCTATAGCTCTGCTCCCTTCCTGGGACTTCAGAAACACCAGAGTCACCCAGGCACGAGACTTCTGAGAGTGGCCCATCTGGTCTCTGCAGTGCTATTTACCTGTTGGTCAATACCCACGGCGTCCAAACCATCGTACATAATGTTCACCCAGCCATCTTTGGAGGAGAGGACAAACAGGGACATGAGGGCCTATAATCAAACAAACAGGAAAGATTTGTCTTGCACTTAGTCGCCAGAAAATAAACTAACAACAGACAATGCTCAGTAAAAACAATGCACAGCTCATCACACATCATCTGGCCTGGAGCTGGTGGAGAAATGCAACATATTATGGTTTGCTTTCACCTATTTCCATATCTGGCTTAAAAGTGAGCAAACTATGGTCAGTAATGCTCCTTTTCCCTCACATAGAGGCTGACTTTTGCTGAGACACATCAGGCTTTCTGGTCACCAAAGCATGATTAAAAATAATTATCAGGCTGGCCCAATGTCACGGGGTTTTAAAAAGCAGTGCACCCCAGTTCCTACAGTGGGCTGTCTTGCTTTTCAGTCGTTAAGCATCTTATTTTTTTCATTTACAAACAGAACATCTAGAAGTGAGGAGATTAAAAGTGACAGTTGAGGTCCATACGTGAGGGAGTCCATGCAAAAGCAGTGTCTTTAAGACAATACTCTTCTGCAAACAAAGAATTGTATAACCCTAGGAAGTCTGGTTGTAAAAGATCAAGAAGTGACCTGATCCATTTTTTACTCAGTGAGGGTTGCTCTTGCTAGATGAATGTCTACATCATTCTTTGAAACTTCCTATGACAGAGGTTCCACACTCTCCTCAAGGAATACATTTAAGAGCTCATCCTTTAAAAACTGGTACATAAAATCCCTGCAACGAGGACTTTACCTGTCCCAAGTTGTCAAAATTGTACTTCCGCCGAACCCATTTGTAGCGTGCATTAGTGCAGTCAGTCTTCGTAGTGATGTTTTTTACATCAGGACCATCACAGTAATAGAACTTGCCTTTAAAAAGCTGTATTTGAGAAGTAACCAAAAAAAAAAGAAAAAACAAAGAAGAAGCACTTTTGAAAAGTCTGTCCCCTGATTTACCTTTCTTTCCTCCAGTGGAGTTGTTTGCCAAGTTCAAATTCAGAGAATAGAATCACAGAACCATTTAGGTTGGAAAGGACCTTTAAGATCATTGGGTCCAACCATCATTAACCTAGCACTGCCAAGTCCACCAGTAAAACCATATCTCTAAGAACCACACCTACACGTCTTTTAAATACCTTCAAACACAGAAGGAAGGTGTTCCTGCAGGCCTGCCTTGTCTGGTTGGAAGGATGACAGTCTCCCCTCTGAGGAAGAGATATTATATATATCCTAGCACACAGAGCTGGGAGGGATCTTCAGAATTTGTCTTTTCCTTCTCCTACCCTCAGGCAGGTTTAGCTGGTGCTGTGTTGTTCATCAGGGAGGTCTGCTCTTCTAATCCTGAGGACCTTCTAATGAGCAGTTGCCAACCCCACCCTGGAGCATTTCTTCTAGGACCTGGCTCTTCTTTCCTTACACCTAACTGAAATCTTCCTCTGGAGAGATTTAAGTTTATTACTTCCACCTTAATCCCAGGTGGTGAGAAAAACAACTTCTCTTTTGCAGCAGTCACAGATGGCAGTGATGAGGGAAATACTCTACCTGGACCCCTAAAATCCCAAAGATAATGAAGAAAGCACAGCAGATGAGAACAATATTCCCAATAGGCCTCAAGGAGGAGATCAAGGTTTCTACCACCAGCTTCAAGCCTGGGGCTCTGCTGATGACTCTGGAAAAAACAGCAAAACAATAAAGCTTTTAATTTTTTTATGCATGCCCTGTTATTATATGGTTGCTTTTCCTCCTCTGCTTGGACTGCAGTAAAGCTAACGCAACCCTTCTCTATCTGCAGGCAGCATTCAGAGATGATTAGTGACTTATTTGGACAACCAGAACATTCACAGTCACATTAGATGGAATTAAAAAAGCATAAGACATCCTGTCAGCAGGGTGTTGCTCAGTTGCTTCCTAGTAAGAGTGAGGAGGGAATACTCTCTATGGGCAGAATATCACAGAGGTTCCCACTACAGGGCTATTTGTACCTCAGCCCAGAGAGCTGACCCCCTCTGAGGTCTCTGATCCAAGCAGAGAGAGGCACACACCAGGCAGGAACCTCTTTCCTAACACAACAGTGTTTACACTAATTCACAGTGGTACCAGAGTGTGTCTTGTCCTCTTTCTACAGGCATAAGTGCTCACCTGCCCTACTGGCCTGGGCCCCACACTGACTTTTCAAAGTAATTTCAATTTGTTTCCTAATTAGTTCCTGAACTGACACTTAGCTAACAGGAACTTGTGATCAACAGCTCCACAGCCAAAGGGTCATCCCATTAAAGAGCAGCTTGCTTGTTTGCTGGCTGGGAGAGGCCCAGCGTGCTCTAAGCACAGCCTGAAGCAGGTTTGAGGTGTTATGGAGAACAAGTGTTTTGCTTTCCTGTATGAGTGCTTGGAGAACGGCTCTCCCATGGGTGTCTGAAAAATGTGTTCGCACACATAAGTGTAACTAGCTCAAGCAAGCTTTTCTGGGAAGGTGGGTGTTTTGACTGAAGAACATCAAAGCTTTTTTTAGGAGAGGTCTGTAGAGGGGAGAGGGTATGAGTCCTTGCAGGTAGCTTGAGCTTACATGGCTAATGATGCTTTCATGCCTGCCTAATGCAGAGGAAAGAGGAAAGCTGTATGCTGCAGGGACAAAACGTTTCAATAGGGTCTTGTTTGGCAGCAAATAATATGGCAGTCTAAACTGCACCTACAAAGTGTTAGGAATGTTCCCTGGAGTAATCCTAGGAGAAGCTGTGATAAGTGAAGCAATCGTAAGAGGTGATGAATTCCTCTCTATTTATAGGATCTGGCCCAGTTATTCTCCAAGACTAAATCCCTTTTCCCCCCTTACGTTTACTTATGAATTGCCTGTGCCTTGATTTCTGTTCCTAGTTATGTGTGTTAGACAGGTACCCCAAGGCACTGCCAGGCCAAGGCTTGTCCAGGGTGACCCAGAGTGGCTCCTGGTGAGCCAGCACTGCAAGAGGACCCTGATGCCACCAGCAGAACAGAGCATAGGAGCAAGAGAGGAGACAGAAACACTCACAAAGTTACTTGTCACTCAGGAAATAATAAAGAGCAGACAAATAGCTGTTGTTCTTGTGGCCATGGGCCTAAACAAGATCGACTCTTCCTATTACTCTCATAAGCAAGCAGCTTTTCATCAGAAAGCCTACAAGTCTCTGGAGGTGCCTATCTTATTTCCCTTGAAATGTCATGAAAAAAGGCTTGTGCTTCTTGCCAAGCAGGATGGAAATAGAACAGGAGCTGTGAGCTGATAAAAATCCCCCAAGCATTAACACTCTTTGTTATTGCATAATCATAAATAAAATACAAATTTTCTTTATTCCTTTTCTCAAATACTGAAAGCGTCTCCCCTTCCTAGCTGAGAGCTAAATTGTTTTTCAGTAATGTTAGATATGTAGGCACGGGAGAGCAGGTATAGATGCTGGAGCTTATCAAAGTATTGTCAGCACCTGTTCAACTGTAAATTTTCTCCCAGCTAACGCGACCTCTTTGCTTGGGAATGACTCTGAGGTTGTGCAGTTTAACAAGGAGCCAGACTGATTTGTAAAATGGTGATAAAAATGCAGCGTGGAGGTGGCTGCACTAACTGCCTGAGTATGATAACACCTCTCATCCCAAACTCCATCCACTCTTTTCCATGCTGGAGAAGATGAATTATATTATAACTAATTTCACCGTTTTCAAACAGTTTCACTAGATAAGAGCTCCCCAAAGATGATTCTACCCATACTGTGTTTCAGCTTCTTGTGTTATTAAGCAAGACCTTGATGGATCACGTGCATTTTTTCAAACTCCTTGATCCATTAACACAATGAAAACTCAGCCATGCTATTGGTGAACGTACCGAAGAGGTCTCAAGGTCCGCAAAAGTCTCAAAACGCGAAGGACACCAAGGATCTTTGCTCCGCCTGCTGATGCCATGGAGACAATAATGTCAATGATAGATACAAAGACCAGGACTCCATCCAGGACATTCCAGCTGCTCTGCAGATAGGTGTTCTCCCCAGAGAAAAAGCCAAGAGCTACCACCTACAGCCAGGGGAACAGAGACATTTAAATCTTCATCCAAATCATAGCTATGTCATGTTCTGGTCTTTGCTAGGCCTTGCTAAGGGCCATGGGATGAAGATGTAATTACCTTAACCATCATTTCAGCCACAAAGATTGCAGTAAAGATGTAATTAGAAACACTTAGGAATATCCTTTCCTGTAAAACACAGAACCACAAAAAGAGGCAGGTTATTTAAAGATGTTAGAAAACAAACTTCTTTCATCTTGCAGGGTCTTGCCCTGATAAGACTAAGATCTGGGTGCTGCATCAAGGGAGAAAATGACTCAGGTACTCACTGTGCTGTGTGGGTCTATGTCTGGTCGTTCCAGTGCTATAGTGATGCAGTTGAGAAATATGAAGACCAGCACCACGTGATCAAACATTTTGTGAGCAATGACCTTCTGGCACATCACTCTGAACCTGAAGATATGGTGGGGAGAAAAATATCCTTCAGAAGTTTGGCTCAGCAAAAGACTCCCACCTGAATGGCACATCCTCAGAAGTCTTCAGCAGCTGTGCCACCAGCATCCACCCAGGTGGTGAGCTAGTCTCTCCACAAGCTTCAGTCATTGTTATCAGTGCAGTAAACAAGATGCAGTAACGGCTATTATTAATGATGGTTAAACCACCCTTCATCCTAGACAGGCATGGAGTGAACCATGTAACAATTCTTCCCACATGTAACCCAAAAAGTTACCTAAAAATCAGGAACTGGATTTCTAAAACTCTTGGTGCTTCTGCATCAGAGAGGGATTTTTCTCAAGGGAACGCTAGCTAGAAATGTAGTATTCCATTACCACGAAAACCTGGTGGACTGGCATTTCACCAGGATTTCTTACCGATTCTGGGGGGAAAACAAGTAGAGGGACCAGTCTTCATGACTCTTGCACCACTGTGGTTTGTAGGGCTCCAGGACTTTACGAATTCGGTAGCAGTAACTCTGGATAGAAAAAAAGAAACATCTTTTCTTCTTCTTTTATTTTCCTGCCTCTTCAACTTTCACAGTCCTTTTATGAAAGGGGGCGGTACCTGGCATTTCATAGTGCCTGTAGGGAGTCACAGCTTTTGGGACAGAGATGTGGCAAGCATTGTCACATTTGTCCAACAAAACAGGGAAGAAAGGGGTGAAAGAAAGGAGCTGCTGTACAGTGAGATACGAACAAAACAAAGCAAGACTTTCTAGGCAGGTATCATTTTGAGATCCAAAGCTGTGCCAAAACCAAAAAGGCCTCAAACAACCAAAAAGTTAAATAGAGAACATTATTTCTAGGCTTTCAGGACTTCAAGATTCTGAACACCTCTTGTGAGCAAAGACATTAGCTAGCTGTTGTGTCTACAGCTCATATTTACAGGCATCCTGGGCCAGGGGGACAGTCTCAACCAGTCCAAAACCAAGGCAAATTCAAGCACAACCTCTTGCTGTTTTACCTCGTTAGAAACCATTGCAAGGTAACAGCCCAACCCATTCATAAAAAACCCCCACCTTTTGGGAAGTGGATGCCCATCCCTCAGATCTGAGTTTGGTTTGTCTACACCAGCCATTAGGCAGTAACCCAACTCAAAGCCTGATATATAATCAGCTTTCTTGGAGTGGAAAAGCCACTTAACGGATGACCGCCCAGTTTCCTCCCCAACTCACATCATCCATGTCATCCTCATAGTCCATGGCATCCTCCTTGTGGCTGTCGACACGCAGGAAGAACTCGCTGGGGACGTGAACCATCTTGCCGTTGCAGTCTTGGTACTCGGCAGGCAGAACGGCCAGGGGGCTGATGCTGAGCGAGTGGCGCATGGTGGGCAACTGGAGCAGCTCAGGCAGGTCCAGGGAGCTGCGATAGTCCAGGGACTCTGCCCGGCGATGCAACGAGGGCCTGCTGACCGTGCTGGACTTGGCGTCGTCGGAGTCATCATCTGTGCTGCCTTTTCCCTCCCCGGAGAGCAAGGACTCTCTTTCTCCTGACTGGTTCTTCTTCTTGAGGCTTGGGGCTCTGCCCAGGCTATTCCAGCTCGAGCGTCGGCTTCCCCAGTTGCTGTTGGTGCCCCAGTTGGCGCAAGGGGAACTGCGGAGGCTGGACTGAGAGAGGAAAAAGACATTTGAGGGTTTGTTCACAGGAGGAAGCCAAAGGATATGGCATTTTGCCCAGGCTGGAAGACCTTTCTTATTGCACACACATCACGTCTTCCCCTTCCAGCTTTCCTCACTGCTCTGATTTCATCATGCCAATGCCTTGAGATGGGAGCCAAGCACCCAGCAAAGCCCACGCTGAAGGTAATCTTTGAACTACACCTGTAGCACAGCTACCAAATCTCTGTGCTGCATGACTTCCTACTGTCTTGGCAACATTAACTGCGCATAAAAACTGAACCCAAAGACACTATTGCTGAAGTGGCATTTTCTTTCCTCATGTTCAAGAGGTTTCAGCACACAACTACTCTGGCTTTCAAAGGGGCTCCGGCACCTGAGTTACCCAAGTGTCTGTTGGAAACTGTGCCCCTATTTGCTCTACTTCCTCTTCAATTTGCTGCATAAGGAGGTGGAATGAATGCTTCTCTTACGGCAAATTTCTGATCACTGTGTCAGTGCATTTTGGCTAGCAGGTAGTTGCCAGGATAACACTTAAGGTCAGAGCAGAAAAGCTAGAATAAAAACTCCTTTTCCCTCCACGGCTTCCTCCCAGCACAAAATGAGGCAAACTGCCTTCCTCCTCCTTCTCAGTGTTGGCCAGCTCTCCTCTGACTGCTTCATCTTCCTTTGGCTGGTGACACTCATGTGCCCTCAGAGAAAGGATTCAAACCATGAACAACCCTCTCCAGCAACTCACAATCCCATGAAACCCCAAGGCAAACAACAGTCATCTCTATTTTCTTTTCAAAAGCATTACCTTGACTAAGCAGCTTACCAAAGAGGATAGTGGCTCTGTCTCTGTGTGAAGTGCTTTCACGGTCTGCTGCCTTGATTTGAACATGATATTGCAGTTACAGAGCAGAGGAATGGGATAGATAAGTAGCAGCAGAAATCCACTTTGTCTATTAACTCTGATCCCTCTGTTTTCACAGAGCTGCCCTCCCACTCCCCTGTTGCAGGCAAAATGCAATCAGTTGCCAAAACAGTCACCTCCAGCCAGATCTCTGCTCCCATGAGCTGCGCTTGGTGGCAGTCGTTCAGCTTATACCCCGTTGCCTCTGTTTCCCCTCCAATGGGGCTGCTGTACTCTAACTGGAGTTCAGCTGCTGTGTTGGTAAGGACAAATGGTTCATTTCCCTTGACACAAGGTGGATTCAAAGTGCAACCCTAAAACACTGTGTGGAGAAACAGGCCTTATCCTCACAGGAACGCTTGACAGCTTCTCCAAGACACCACAAAATGAATGGCCAGTATGGTTGGCAAAAGATGTCTGCTCCTCCTCAGAGGGGGTTGCTGGAATAACTGCATGAACTTATGACTTCTCTCAGGTTGTGTCTCTCCAGTGAGGCAGCTTGACGTGGACTTCCCATCATATACTAGGCAGGAAAACACTGAATCTCAGTACATCCCTGTCTCCCCTCTTCATATACTCACTGTCCTAGACTGTTACGTTGTCACTGTTCTGCCCCAGCATAGCACACTCATTCATTTTTCCCTCTTGACTCTCTTCTCCTCCTGCCTTTCCACATACTTCTCACCTCTATCACCCTCCTTTTTATTTTCCAGCAACATGTGCATGCACATGCGTGTGCACACGCACACATATATGTATAATCTGTGCCACTTACAGGCACTTGAGGGAGAGCTGTTAGCAACAGGAACCTACCAAGGACTTCTGATCGTAGCTCAAGGGGTCTAGCGAAGCATTACTCCCTCTCCTGGAGTCCACAAAAGTGTGCACTGAATCCATGTGTGGGGAACACTTTGGTGTGGGCATTGGTGTGGCAGCAGTGCGCATGATTATAGGAGGTGGCATGCTTCCCCTGCCTTCCAGGTGTCCGTTTGGGGTGACAGCAAGTGAGTACATCTTCATCTCTGGAGAGAAGGGGAGAGAGAATACGAGTTGAATGCTCTGCTACAGCTACAGAAATCACTCTTCAAAACGAAGGTTGCTCCTCGGGTCTTCTAGGAACTCTGCCAAATGGAGATGAAATGTTGGCAACAAGATCACCCCCACCGCGTTGAAAGGCATAAGGCAAATGCTACAGCCTTTTACCTGCCCGGACTTGGAACTCACTGCCCTCCAAAGGAAGCTGCTTTTGCTCATCGTTTCTTTGGATTTAGGGAGTGGGGTTATAGTTTTGGTGGAGTGGGAGAGAGACAAGGGCACTGAGGAGTGGCTAAATTCACCCTAAGAAGTTAATCTCTTCTTGACTTGCAGTCTTGCACAGAGATTTTTATGCAGTTCTGATGTGCTTTAAGTTCCTTCACTAGGAAGGCACTAAGCAAACATTAGTCATTGTCTTTAGTCATCTGTTCAGGGGACAGGAAATGGAAGCTGCTTTTACACATCCACTTGTCTAGAAGAGTATACCTCCTGTAACAGAGAAATCTAATGACACATCTCTGATAATTGTGGAAAGCATCTATTTTAGCTTTAAGGCAAGTACAGACTGCAAAAACCATATTCACGCTGAAGACAAACCAGACATAACACCTCCAGCCCTATGGAGTGCTGTAATACTCAAACCCAAAAGTCTAATTTCAAACACAGAACTAAAGTTGAGCTAGCTTCTGTTTTACTGGGCTTAGTGGGTTCTGGTTTAATAACTGCAGAATCAGTCTTAAGGAGGGGGAAGGACAGGAGCACCTGCAACCAGCAGGAAAGAAGTACAAGTCTGCAGTGAGAAATCCAAGCGAGTGCATTACCCCTGCTGTTTATCTTCCACTGGCTGCTTTTGTAATGCAGGGTGCTTCTATTGTATCATCTGCTTAGCTGCTGGCTTGTGCACAAATATCCGATCTGCACCACAGAAGTCCACGGGAACACTGCCATTCACTTTGAGGGGTGGAAGATCCAGATCAAATTTGCTAATCTGCAATACATGTTCCTCTTGCCAGTGTATCTGTTTACAGACCAACGGCATTGTAATAGAATTGTTAATGTCCTTATGCTGTTTAGTCACAGGTTGGCATCTAGAGGCTAATGGAGAAACACAATTACTCATGGACTTTGATGGCAAGTTCAGCCCTGTTTTCTATTCTTGTATTACCTGAGAAGAGGTGACAATATTTCTTTCCCCTAGAACTCTTACTATTTGAAGCTGCCCAGCAAATAGTTGGTACAAAGGAAATGTAAGCTGTGGGTTCCTTGCCAACTATTTGCAATGGGCATTCATTTGATCACTTGGTGTTTGAAATTCGTTGCTTCATCTGCAGACTGAGCAGCTCCATCACCTTGCTGTGATCCAGCTCTGTCTCAGCTTTCCCAACAAATTACTTATGCCACTTCCTCAGCTAATTCCATCTGCTCACCACAATCGATGTAATTTCTTTAGCTGAAATGAATCCTTGTTTAGAAGCATTTAAAGTAATCCTAACAAGAGCCCAAGCCGGTAATCAAAGTACAGAGGAACTAAACTGGCTCCTGTTTACCATCTTGTTAATCACTCTGTTAAAATATGTGACCCCTTCCTGTCCCCTATCTGGTTGCAAACTCTACAAAATGAAGGCTGTCACCTACTATTCCATGTTTATAGTACACTAGTACAATGTGGCCTTACCTCAAATCAATTGCCAGGCCCTCCTGTAACACAAATGAACAGCAACATTCCCATCAATCAAAGCTCACCTAAATGCATTTGTGTGAGAAACTAAAAAGAACAGATGAGAACATGATTGATTTGAAAAGCTGCTGAGAAGTAGTGTGAGAATATTGCTGTCAACAAACCATTCTGTGGTAATGATACAGGAGAAACAATGGGACATATCTAAATATTCTAGTCTAGTTTAAATTAGAAAAACGTCTGTTTGAAGGAAATATCAATGCTCATTTAACTTTCCCAACACTCTTTGCATAGCTGCTCTGTTAACACAGCTATCAGATTAATTGCCAGATAAAATGGATTCTTCCACTTTCCCTTGTAAGTTTCTATGAAAAGATGACTGTGAAAACAGAGTTGTATCTCTCAGGTTCCCGGGAAAATGTAGAAACAAAATCCTACCTGTTGCTCGGAGGTCCTTTAGCTTTTCAAAATCATCATCAAAGTTGGCAGATGTCTTGTCCTCATCTGTGTCTGACCTATTGGCATCACCCTGTAGAGAGGAGAAGAGTAATTAACAGACCCAATTCATTTAAACTTTAGCACAAAGGCCATGTGGATTACTTAGCAGCTCAGATACCTCAGCTCCCCATGGTTATAGTTTAAGTGTGACCCCAAGAATCACGAGGGCAGAATGCCAAATTCCCTCTGATATTGCCCTAAGGAATGACCCCAGGTAGGTCCCTCTTCCCTGTTTTGATTCATTTTTGTACATGGACAGAAAGGATGATGTGATTTTGACTACTGTTCCTGCAATGTCATTGCGTTTCCGACACTGCGCCCAGCGTCACTGAACAGTGTCTCCCTGGGGAGAACACAAAAGTGCAGCTGTAATCAGAGGAGAGACTAAGAAACATTTGCATTGCGGGGTTCCATATTTGCACTCTCCATGATCCTAGCTGAAAGCACTTAGGTTTTAGTGCCAAAGAATGTCGAAGGTTTTTTCTCCTTTATTTGACAGTGCTGTAAATTTGACTTAGATCTAAAAGCCCAGCCCTGATTTGCAATCTTCACACTGGCTGGTAATTGAGATTGTATTTGGAAATCTCTTGGCAACATTGAAGCTGAGGCAGAAGGGAATGAGGCCATCTTGCCTGGCAGCACAGCATCATCTCAGGACAGAGAACAATCACCCTCAGACTGGCTTTCCTCCTGGAAGTCCAGTTATTTTTCCCTTTCATACATATCTGCCTCTGCTACCACAAATGATCAGCCTAAATAATGTACAAGCCCAGGACAGAAGAGCTATTGTCAGGTTCTCTGCTGGGGGGTCTGAAGAGAGGAGAAATTCCAGCAAGCTGTTGGCATGAGTCAGGCTTGATCCATCAAGACTGCAGAAAAGCTGTGCAAATTGGTAGAAAATGGTTGGATTAAAGCAGCTGAACCTAGAAAAAGGAGCACAGTTCCTTAACTGATGCCTGAACAAATCACCATGGTTTCTAGAGACATGGTGCTGAAGTGGCAGTGAACTTAATTTCATCTGTGATGTATTGCTAAGTGGTGCAACCAAACAGACAGAATGACTGAAAGGCTTAACTTCATCTTCTCTGTTTTGGAGCAGAAGCGCAGAGTAGATGAAAGATTTGCATAATTTTGGAAGGTTTGTCTGCTCTTCCAGAGAAGCTCTGGGGTAGATTTCAAAATGATGTGGGAACAATATAAGCACAAATATGCAATTATGGTCCTGCTTGAAGCCTGGCTGCTTGCCCTAAGCACAAATGTACTAAAAATGGTTTTGTGTCCATTTAAGCCTATTCTCTTCTAGCGATACTACTGCCAAACTTGCTCCACAGGCAGATCAGAACCTGAGCCCAAATTGAGACTGTGCACTGTGATTCAGAGTACAGTTTTTAGTGTCCTTGCTGAAACGCTGATGGTGGTTCGTTGCTTAGAGCAGCTCTAATGTGCACCCTCTTATCTGCACAAGTCTCCCAGGCGTCACTTTCCATTTAAGTGAAAGGAACACCTGAGCAAAGGGAGGAGAAGTGCACCTCAGTGTCTGCTATAACTGCTAAGAGCATCATCCTGTAAGAGGACAAAGTCAAATAGGTCAAAACAAGATTTACTGTCATATTCCCAACATACCAACAGAATCAGAGATGACGAGAGAAAACCCAGCTTCACTGATACTTCTTCCTGGGAGTTGTCCAAGGAAACTGTAAACATCTTTGGTTTACAACCAGAGCTAAATTATGCATTTATAAGTGCAAGTCTTGAATTGAGCCCTGGTAGCTGAAATACAGCCCTGAGAAGGGTTTTCTGTAACACAGCTAATACCTCACTATGAGACAACTGACAAGCCCATAGGCTTAATGTCAGGATTTATAATAAATGGAAGTGGAGAGCAAAATGTGCCCTGCAAATGTCATGCCTGTGGTTGCTGGCCTTTTCTGAGGCAGCACTGAGTGAATAATACAAGCTTTGAAAACTACTCCTTACACACATTTAAATCATGGTCCATAACAGCTCCAAAAGGAGCCATTAAGCCTGAGCAAGAAAATGACAGGCATTCAGCTAGGTCTGTAATCATGCACTCAGAGAGTATTGCACGAGGCTGCCCATTTCTGGCCTCACATTAGGAGGTGATTCAACCTCCAAGAGGGCAGGTGAGGAATGGGATCTGTACGCTACAAAGTTACCTGCAAGCTGTCAGGTTGCCAAGTGGAGAAAACTTTCTTCTGCCTTAAAGCAATCAGGAACAAAGGATGCAAACTGCTGTACAAGGGCATTCTGTGCCTAAATGCAAGATTGCTTAAGCAGGAGCAGTTTCCAGTCAGTCAGGTCACACATGCTGGTTATTGTCCGTTTGAGTTTCCCTGGCATGTCCTCTTTTTCCACCCAGCTTTGCTGGTTGATGGAATCTGAGGATATCTAGCCACTGAATAGTCCCTTCTCTGAGCTACCATATGGCCAACTGTATTGGTTGTTTCTGCATTCAGTTCAGGACAATCTATTACTTTAGCACAGACTTTAGTCTGCTATGGCTTGTGTTGTCTTCTAGCAGAATTGAGGTCCAGCACAACCACTCTGAATGCAGCCACAACTCTCCTAGAGGAAAACCCCTTCTGGGCTGGAAGACAGCAGGTACTGCAGAGCCTGTAGAAATACTGGTAATTGCTTTGATTTGATCTTATTAGGTTAGTGGCTAAAACGTCCAACTTCATCTGCAACAGGTTGCACTAGAACAGGAACATGGCAAAGGTGTTATAGTATTCAGAGCAAAGCCAGGAGATGCTGAGATTGGTGACACTGAGAAAAGTACAGAAATTTGGAAATAAACAGTGTCAGCACAAGCTCTAGTTACTGAGTCATGGAATATTAGCTTGTTCTTGGAAAACGTCCTTCTTGCTCTTCTTGGTCAGCTGCGCTGGACCTTCAGGGCATGGACCACATTGTACAAGACACTAAAGTGGCCATTAATGCAGTGCAGAGCTGTTCATTTTGAAAGCAATGAGCTGGACTACTTGTGTCTTTCTCTGTGTGAGCAGGTGACTCTCACCACCCTCAGCATCCATGAAACAGCCTTAAGTGATGTAGATCAGGTTTGTTTTTTTTCCAAACTGAGGCTTGGCTCCTGTTGTTTCAATTAATTTTCCTCTGCTAGTGCTGTGAGGAAGCTAGGAGGGATGTTTTAATAATGGATCTATGCAGACATTCTTGAAAGACATAAATGTGGCTGTGCTGGCTTGAGAGAACAGAATTTTTGGTCCATGAATATTTCAATTCTATTCCGTGGTCAGTGAAGGTTCGCCTACGTGTGCTCTAAACACAGCAAATGAGAGCATGATATCATTTCTGGGGAAAAAATGAAAAGTGAAAAAAAAAAATCCTATAAAAATAATTTCTTTCTCCTCTTTCCCTTGGGAGCTAAGGCAGTGAAAACTGAAGCCATTTTCTCATTTTCTTTCTGAGTCTGTGTGTCTCTAAAGCCAATCCAGCACTTAGCAAACTTTCCCTTCTTGACTGTAACAGAAATTAAAAAGTAATAATTAAAAAAATCCCAAAGTGCAATGTAAGCCCTCTCAATGCCACTCTTCTTAGCTTTAACTGGGACTGGATGATTTTTGTTAAGTCTCAAAATTATTCCATTTGCACTAGGACTTTGAAAAAATAATTTTTCTTCTGGATAATATATGTGTGCACATACATCAGTATATTTACAAACAAAACAGATCATCCTCACTTAAAATCTCCCCCAAATGGACTTGCTGTAGTCTGGAAGGAAGATGGAGTAGATCGGGATAGGGCAGGGGATGGCTGGTTTCACTCTCTCAGGATGCTGAAAACAGATCTGGAGTGGGCTTGTTAGTGGGGAGGAAAACTTAAGAGGCTGCAGGGGTCCCCCACTCACACCAGTACTATATCACTTAACACCACTTGTACCAGTGTGGCCTACTGCTCTGAATCATGTGGCACAGGATTGCCTGCACAGCTGCTAGGGTTCCTGCCTAGTTCAGATCAGGACATAGCATATCACTTTTGGCTGAGAAATAGAATCCTTTCTCTAATCCTTTCCACGTGAGATGAGATGCCTGCAGTTTATCATAAATTCCCTGCTCATTGACCTGATATAGACATTATTTTCAGGTATAAGTAAAAATCTATTTAGAATTTATATGTCCTCCATCATCCTAAGTATCTCAAAATTTAATTTTTGTAACCTTGCAACACATCTTTTGAACAGCTGTGCTACTAGCTTCAAATAACATGGGGGACAGAGTCACAAGGAGAGGTCTGGACTGAGAGCCAGTTCACATCCTACCCGGTCCCCATTATTAGCACTGCCTAGACACATTGAAGGTCTGAGACCCGCCATAAAGAAACACAAACCACAGGACATATTGGAGATTTGGTGAGTTAAAGTAATCCTAAATTATTTCCTTGAGGTCACACAACAGACCGTAGCAGATCAACCAAAGTGTTGGTCTCCCAAGTCCCATGTCAAGTCCAGTGGGCCTTATTTGCAAAGATATATTCACAAGAGCTTCACATGCCCAACCCAGCTCATCTACACCCCTTCAGTTTAAATTTAGGGCTGCTTGCATGGCTAGATGTTTGCACTGACATGGATTCGTCCCTATACTCTTGCCTGCATGTGTTTCTCAGTTTTTTCCCTCCATCTGCTCAGATCTCTTACCTCTGCCTGGAAGCCTTCTACCAGAATGGCAACAAGAAGGTTGAAGAGCACATAATTGCCGAAGGTCATCAGGGCCACAAAGTAGAGTGCTGCCCATGAGGATGTAGATGCCATCCCATTGTACAGGACCACGTTCCAGTCCTCTTGAGTGAGGATCTGCAGAGGGGTGAAGGGGAAGACTCTCTAATTACTCCACTTCTATCATGCACAGCAGCTGCATTCAAATACTGACTCATCCATTTCTTCCTCTCCTTTTGACCTTTTCTGAGAATAATCATTAGTAGGCCTCATGAGATGAGACAGAAAAATATTCCTTTATTTAATCTTTGCATGTGAGAGCTCTCCCTTAGCTAACCCTCCCTTTCTGCAGGAAGATCTAACACAGAGAGATGACTAATTCAGATCCTAGAAATGGTGACATGAAGGAGTCCCACTGTTTGGTGGTGTTGCCTCCTTTGATAACCATCAGAAGATAACAGACCTGAGGCCAGAGCTGTTGTCTCCTTTTGGGCTGCTCTTTATAAGGCATTTGGAGCTGAAGGAAAGGGTAGGGGACATGATATTTAATGAGATAAACAACACTGGGTTGCTCAAGAAACCCAGGGAAGCAAAGTGGTTTCCATCAGGTAGAAGCACGGACAACCTGGGCAAAAAAATAGACATCTTTGCAAGGCCTTGCTCCAAGGGACCTTCCTCAGGGATTCACACTCTCCTAGCTTTCCTGGAGCTCTAAAATCCCGAGGCCTATGAAAAGTGGACAACAGACTCATGCTCCACATTAATTCATGCTTACAGTGAAAATGACCTCTAACCCTCCTAAAAACAAGGTAGTTTTGGGGATAGGAATACAATCAGCTGCACTGATTTATGCCACCTTCAGTGGGTGTAGGACTGAGCCTTTGTGCTCTTTGCTAACTCTATTTCCCAAGGGACTGTTAGAATAAATGCAGAAATCTGTATTTATGTTGGTAAAAGAAAAATGTGAACCTGTGAAACTAGTGCTGATTTGCCCTTGCTCCTTTGTAAGAAGGAAAACTTTGCAAGAAATTATATTCTTCACAGTGAAGACTCCAGACTGGTTTCTACCTTGAATAATACTGTGGTGAACACCCACTCTGCATTTAGAAACTTAGCTTAACATTGTTTACATTGTGCTCCACTTGGGCTCTGAAGACTGAGCTTTTAAACAGAAAAGACTAATTTTTATATTTAGAATGCCCTGGAAATACCAGCTTATCGCTCCATCATGGAATATGGCAGCGATTTCAAGCACGTAACAGATCTCGTCTGCAGAGGAAACACAACTTTTTATTTAAAAACTTTCCCAGCATATAGGGCCGGCACCTCCAGCTCTGATTTGTGACAGCATTTGTCACTCCCAGTTAAATGAAATTGTTTGCAAAGTGCATTTTTGGGGCAGTGAATGCAAGTAAGGAGACAGAGCTCAACAGAATAGGAACAGAATGGACAGTAGACTGTGGGTCTTGATCTTCCTGACTATATGAAAGGAAAGTAAGGGTGAATTTCCAGGTCTTAGACTTTATTTTTACTGATAACAGATATGCACAGTGATGATTTTGAATAGAATGCTTCTCTTTCAGGTCTTATAGAGACCAGTTAACTCAGAAACACACTTTGCCCTAATAACTCTACAGTGCCATTTTAGTCCAAATTTGACACCTATTGGAGTAGTCTTTTTTTAAAAAGCAAAAGAACTTGTCCAAGCGGTCTACACTAAAACTTCCCAGAGGATCCGGAGCTTACCTGAAATACGGTCACAATGGCCCAAAGTAAGGAATCAAAATTCTTTCTATCTGGAACTGTGTCTCCTGTGTCAGTTTTCAGGCTGAACTTGCATCCAAAAAGATGCATGCCGAGAATGCTAGAGTGGGAAAAAGGGGAGATGGAAGATACATATTAATGGGTGAAATATGGTTGCAGTGAGAATTGCAGTGATTTTTTTGACACTTCCGTGTCCCCACCCCCTCGCAGTGTTTTGTGTGCCAGTGGTATCTCCCAGGAAGAAGGGCTCTGGTCCACCACTGACACGTTCACTGACCAAACCCTGCCATTTGGTTCTTCTGTGGGACATTTTATTACAATTGTCTATACTGAAGTCAGATCAGGTATCTCCTTTGTCTAAAAAATTGCAAACTATATTGTGAGCTCTCTAATCTGTCTGGTTTCCATGAACAGGGTCCTGAAGAACATTATAGGGTCAAGCAGACAGAAGTTTTGGAGTCTGTACAACCTCCATTTCAAATATAACATTGGTAGAGTCCAGTTACTGACAGCTTCCCGAGACACAGCTAAACAAGCCTCCCAGGAACTCTAGAGCAATTGTTGCTTGTTTGTATACTTCATTCATCTACAGAATTACAATACTGCATGAAAAACTGAGACTGAAAAGGGGTAAATAGTCTGTTGAGTGTCTGTCTGTCAGTCTATTATGAGCACTTCTGTAATGTAGGCAGCCTAGCAAATGCAGTATACCAGTATTCTAATCTACATATTACTTAAGCAAGCTGAACAATTAAATTGAGGAAGAGCTGCAGCCTCTGGTACCTGAAGATAAAGATGAAGAGCATGAGCAACATGCAGAAAGTGGCTACGTTGTCCATTGTCTTCATCAGGACCACCAGCTGGCGACGGAGAGCGGGCATGAAACGCACCAGTTTCAGCACCCGGAGCAGCCGGAAAGTTCGTAGCACCGAGAGGCCTCCGTCCGACTGGCCGATGATCTCCCAGACACTGCAGGGACACCAGAAGGAGAAGAACTATAAGCAGCAGTACCCTACTATGAAAGCCTCGAGCAGGCTGGTTTCATATAGGATATCACACCATTTAAGCTCTAAAGGGGTAGTTTATTTGCCTGTTACTTTCTTGCTTCTGAAAAACACCTTCACTTCCCAGTTGTGTAGACACATATGCTCATGCCCAATCTACATCCTTTATATGAGGTTTCTTGATTCTTTAATTCCCTTGCTTTCCATGGCCCTTCACAGCACAGCATGTCTCCTGCTAGTCTGCATCATTACATTCACAAGCCTAGCCACAAAATATGGATCACAATTTTGTACCAAGCTAATATCCAGAGAGATTTATGTTTGTTGGGGTGGGTTGGCTTGATCAGGACACAGACTGGCCTTTGTTCTGGGCCTCTGTTGCTCCTCACTGCTCTGAATCAAAGGGATGGGCCAACAGAGCACTATCCTTGTTTACACCTTCTGTGTCTCCCTTGACTTCTCTGCTCCAAATTACTGATAGAGGGGTGAAGAGCACTGCTACAAAGAATCCCACCCAGAAAGGTGCTGCACAAGCTTTTCACACAGATGCTTTGTCATCCCCAATTTAGATAGTGTTCCCCTGGGAGAAGACAGCAGGTCAGTGCCCTCTCTTACGCTCCTGCTTGCCCTATTCCGGCCTGAGTTATGTGTTAATTTGGGAGAGGGAAGGCACGCTGCTAGGATATGGACACTCACAGTACTCCTTTCCCAGGACCAGCCATTCTGTGCTTCAGTGGAAAATTGACCACAGTGCCAGATGTGTGGCGTAAATAGACTTTGTTCTCTATCTGCCAGGTCCATTTACTTTGGACAGCCCTTCTAATAACAGGAATCTAAAATGCCAGCATAATTATAGCATATCATAGCCAGCGAGCCCTGGATTAATACATGCCACATCATTCCTGTTACCCATCAGAATCCCCAACCGGTCTGAGCCCTCAGCAGAAACGCCACAGTGGAGAAAGAACTGGCAGTGACCTGATGACAACTATGATCCCGTCAAAGATGTTGTATGGGTTCTTGATGTAGCCGAAGAGGCCAAAGGCAAGGAGCTTCAGGAGCATCTCCAGGGCAAACATGCTTGTGAAGACGATGTTACTGATCTCCAAGGCATTGGTCAACTCGTCCGGCTATGGGACAAAAAAGCAACATGGTCAAACAGATGCACAGAGGAAATGGCTAAAGGCTAGTATGTTCCTCCTGCTCTGGGATTTATGCTAATGGTGCACAAATGCTACATCTTCTCATGTTCCTTCCAGAGAGCCATGGCGGCAGGTAAGTATCTGAGGGGAACAGCAGACAAGCCTCATGGACAGTCCCTGTGGGTCTTACTGGAAAAGCAGAATCCCAGCTCATTTCTGCATCAGTTGCAGAATACCTGTGCCCAATACATGGGCCTGAAAAACTAAAGCTTTGCAAAGGAGAGAGCTTGTTCGCTGTTGCAAGATACAATTTTCAAGGTGAATAGCTAGTGTGGCTTGTAAGGCTTCTGTTCGGACTTCCATTGGTCAGGCTGTTTTCATTGCACTAGCCCTGGCAGAGCTTTATGGATACTGCTATATCCAAAGCAGGAGCACTGTCAGTAGAGCATAACTCTATTCATATACGAACAAAGCACTTGCAGACATCTCTTAAGAGAATTAGGAAAACAAATACCAGTAATGTCCCTTGAGATATTTGTCTCCCTTTGGAAATTGTTCCCTAAAAACCCCAAGATGATTTTTCCTTCTGAAGTCGTGGTTAGTAAAGTACAGCAGATTTTGTTAAAATGACAGCAATACAGCCCTGAGTGCCCAGATTCCCTCTAGGATCAGTGTGGGCTTCTCTGAGTATACAAGACTGCATGCAGCTTAAATCCAAGAACTGACTTCCCCTCCTCTAACACAAGCACCAAATCACCTTGGGCTACAATCTTCTCTTCAGACAGAGCCTTAGATATTCCTTTCCTGGAAAGCGCAGCAATGTCTGCCCAGCACCCAGGATCCAAAACACGGCACAGCAGGGATGGATGCAAAAGGTGGGATGGGGTTCACTCACTCACTGGAGCTACTCCCTCAAACAACACCAGGCTCTGCAATGTGCATTGCTAATGCTCAAGACCTGTTCCTTTGCAAAAGCAAATGGGTCTTTTTAATTTCCTCAGTGTAATAATATTGTCTAGAAAAAGGTGTTATTTTCATATCTGACTCATCTCCTGACTGATAATAGCTTCCTTTATTCCCCATCCATCAATAGACACTGTGTTAAAAGTTGGCAGTTTCTTGTGGATGTTGTTGCATTATTCGAGGTTTCAAAGGGAGACCATTGTAATACTGTGGCACAGCCTCATTTAACTCCCCACTCTACAAACCAAATCCTTGTCAATTGAAAGAGAGGGTGAAAGAGTTAACTTGAACACAGGAAGAGCCCACACATCCCCTACTATAGGCAGTGACAGTCTGTGGTCTGCTAATGAACCATCATTCATAGGCTAAATCACTTTATGCAATAGACTGTCTTTTGCTCGACCATTTATCCAGGAGAAAAAGAGCCTCAGTCCTCATGATTATAATCCATATACACTAATTACTAAGGGACACTGGGGAAAGGACTGTGCAATTTTCAGATCTTTAGCCTCTAGCAAAGGGTGGCCCAGATGGCTGCACAGTGCACCTGAACAGCAGGATCACGAGGGTGCCCTCCTCACACCTTCCTCGTGCTATTCCCTTTGCCAACGATGCCAGAACAATCTGGGCAGAGGTCTTCTCTTTGCAATGTAAACACAGCTGAAGAAAAGGGCTGCTCTAGGATTAAGCAGCTCCTCAACAGACACTGAGCCTGAAACAGCCCCGTGGGCTCCCAGGCGCCTGCCCCGCTGTAAGCCACAGTGGTGACGGGACACCACGCTCGCAGCGTCCTCGAGCTATTTGTCAGGAGCAGAGCAGGGCTGGCACGTTCGGTCTCCCCTCAGCCAGGGTTATACAAGGGCATTCCTGACAAGAAGCAAAATAACTTGCTAAATTCTTGCGTCCCTCCAGGCAGCAGACTTAGGGCTCCTTGGGACACAGTGTTCACGGCAGGCCAAGGATGGCTTGTTAGCATGCTGAGGCTGGGAAATTAATGGCACAATCATCAGCAAGGAAGCTGCAGCTTGGGTAGCTTTGAAGGAACAGTGTTGTTCTGTAGTACTTTCTGCTGGGAAACATAGAGATCCTGCCCATTGCTACCTACAGGTCCTTGTCTGCAACACAGCAGCAGTCTCATCTGCTAAAGTCAAACTTAGTTCTGTGTTCTCCAAGTTCACCTTGCTGCTGCCAGATGTGTTGTGAAGAGGCACAATTTTATCATGAACATTGGAATAGCTGGTGATCATTTCAAAATCCCTAAACCTGGAGTTATGCAAATAGGAGAAGACAATCTCAGGAGTCATTACCAAAAGAGTCAGTGTCCAGCCTGAAAAGCCTAAGCTGAACAAACTTAAAACCCCCCTCAGGCAAATAAAAAGAATTTGTAAGCTGTTATTCTCTAAAATCCATTGTTTTCTAAGACAACCTCAACATTTTTCAGTAGCCTGTTGAACACATGGCATTGCAACAAGTTAATCTGCCGGTATCACTGCTTGAATTGATTTGCCAATTTTCTCTGACAATTTGGTGTCCTTATTGCTCCCTCTCCAGTGCCATAATTTTTGCTTCATGTACAAGTTCAGAGAAGAGCCTCAGCCATCTCTCAGGGAAGGGGAAAGAGGGCACGAGGAAGAGGGGAAGGAGAGGATGAAGAGGTGGCCTAAATGAAATCATCAATAGCTGTGATGAGGAGCTGATCCAGCAGATCAAGATGACAGGGGGACGCCTGGGCAAGGTTGACGGACAGCAGGCTGACACTGCAAAGCCACTTGTGCTTCAGACAAGAGAACTTCATTATCCTTTAGTGATCATATTTGATGTGAAGCAGAACTAATTTGATGACAAGGACTGCTGTAACGTGAGACATTTGGAGCACAGTCCTGCAGTGACATGGAGGCAGGACCCACTGGGCAAAGACAAGGATGGATAGTCCTGCATGCCGGCTAAGTTGCTGATGTGAGCTTTTGTATTATTAGTGTGGAAGCTGAACAGCAGATGATCCAAGCATCCAGTGATACAGCCTTCAAATGTAATTACCTTCTTTCAACACCAACTAGAGCTTATAAAACAGCCTGCCATAGATATTTTTATGGCTTATGAAATGGTTTGTTGCTTAGAGCACAATTCATTTCCCACTTCTCTCACTCGCTGATGAGCAAAGATCTAGGAGGAGGGTCAAGGAAGACATACTTGAAAGCCAAGATGGATTTGGCCATTCCCCTGGAGTCAGCCACTAGGAGACACTGTTGTTTTGTTCATATTTAAGCCAACCCCAGAGCAGGAATTTTTCCAGAAGTCTTTTTCTCTGGGAAAAACAAAATGTTGATTTGCTGAAAACAAAACTTTTCATGGCAAGGATTATTTTTGTCAAACTTCCTGGCTGAAAGAAAATGAAATTGCAACAAAGCTTTAAAATTGCTGCAGCGTCTTGTTTTGACCTTCTCTGAAAAAGAAATTTCAGGCTTTTTGCTTGAGATGTAGTTGTGTCATGAAATGCAACTTCCTTTCCAGCAAGGAATGGTTAACAAAGGTTGGCATCAAAATGATGCACTTTCAAGAGAGTAGTTCTAAAGTGGTGTTTTTTACTTTGTAAATATTAACAACTCTGACAAGTGAAACTACTTGCCCACCATACGCCTCTGAACTGCATCAATGAAAATTTCCTTTTTCAAATGACAGTGAGAGCGCATGACCCCTCATCAGCTTTGGATATCTCCACATCTGCTGCTGCTGTGATGCTCGATGGTTACATTGGTCCAGGTTTTCAGAGACAGGACTGGCCAAATGGAAAATTTCAAATGCCAAATGGAAAATGGTCAAATGGCAACCAGGTGGCATTGCACAAGGCCATGAAACACTAAGGAATCCCCACGATGGATGCAACACGGGAGATGGCGGGCAATGCCATCCCACTGGTATGAGGGTCACAGTGCCAGATGTGGAGGCTGGAATGGGAACTACCATGCTGGAGACAGTCAGCAAAAATGAGCACAGAGAGTGGTATAACCCACAAGTCCCACTGGCTGGTCCCAGGCAACATTCAACATTCAAAAAGGGTTCAGATTGGAGTACAAATTTCACAGATTTCAGATTCAAATGAATCCTCGTACTTTGGCTTCAAGAGTAAGTTTCCCACCATTCAAGAGAAGGGTAGAAAGTATACAGGATCAATTTGTAAGATTTCAGCATCCTTGAATATGAGTTTAAAGTAACAGTTAGCCTTGACTCCAGGCAAAACACGTCCCAGGAAAGCACAGCCACCTCTGCTCACTTTGAAGGCCATATTTATGTGGTGGAATATTTCAGTGATTCAAAACTGTGTTTTTATTAGAGACAAACCTCAAACGTTTCAGCAGTTCACTCTGAGTTCAGATAAACAGACAAAAAATCCTTTTCTAAATAGTTTGGGTCTGAAAACCTCAGAAGACTAGTCTCATTCTGAGAATCTGGTTTTAGCAAGATGCAACACAACCCCAGAGCCTTGCTGGAATTGGGAGAAATTCAATAAAAGAGAAACCCATAATGGTCAAACTATTGATGGCCTCTACAAGCAGAGGATGAAGAACGGGAGTAGGACTTTGCAGACTTAGAATCCCTTTGTGCAACTGAATTACTGCATTTCTTCAAGCAAGTCACTATCTTTTTCTGCCTCTCTTTCTCCTCTCGCCTGTCTCCTACCTTGTCTCTTTTGCTTGCTGCATCCACAGCCACCTATTTTCCATAGCTTAGGTTCAATCACCAGTGGGATGGCACCAGGTCTTGGCTGGGGCACCTTTTTGCTTTGATACCAAGTAGAAATAATCATGCCTGCATCACGCTGGAGAAAAGGGCTGTTAGACACCTGGTCCCTCCTGCTGAATGAACAGGAAAGTAAGTTTCCAGAGTAAAGGATGTTCTTTTGCTTCAGAAATTCCCCCTCGAGCCCAAAGCAGCCGTTCGACGACTCCTGAAGAGGGAGAGCAGAGGCTGGCAGAGACACAGAAGAGTGGTAAACAAATCCAGAACATTTAGTCTCATAAACATCC